CTGCTATTCCAATATAGTTTACCTTAGACAAAATATCTGAATCCCAAACAACCATTTAACTGTCGCGGGGTATGGGGAAATTTTGAAAATTTAACCGGCGCAAATGTGCTTTGCTGCTATTCTAGCCCGTGAATTAAGTAACTTAAAAGTTTCAAATCGGTTTGCAATCGAAATCCCACTCTATGCCGACCTGAATTCCAACCATCCAATCAGACTGTTGCAGCTACATTCACAAATACTAATCGATGCTAGAAAAATGTCACACAAAGTAGCGTGGCTCCAGACAAAATGTTTTAATTGGTAGTTTAAAAGAAAAGTAAAATAATGTTTTATTAGATTTCGGGAAATTTAATTTTCCAACCAGATGAAATAATAAATTTTGTTTTCACTTTAACCTTCTGCCCGAAAAGTCAGATTGGCCAAAAGTTAAGGGCCGGGACAGCTTCCTACCACCCGGCTCGTACGCCTATAGATATTTACCCATTGGAAAATGAACGCAATCCAAGTATTTAAACATGCATTATGCAAGAGCTAAATCTACCTATTGCTGGTCTTGCTTTGGGTCTGAAATGTTATCTAAATTATTAATTAGACATTTTAATTAAAATTAACTTATCAAGACCATAATCAACTCTCGATGCCATCGTCAGCCTACGATATTTAATGGATTTGAATACATTTTTGTGGTGGATGATTTAACGTAAAAATGGATAATCGAGACTTTGTTTATTATCGTATAAACAGCAGTAATGGCGATCGAGGCTAGCCTAAAATTAAATCGCTAATATCCCGGTTCAAAGTGAAGCAATTTATCGTTAATTTTCTGCATATTGTGTTTTAATTCTTCAATTTTTTAACTATAATAGCGAAAACTGTCAGCTCTTTATCTATTCATACCTAATGCCCCTTTAAGAAGAATATTACATTACATTTATTTCAATTAAAAACTGAGGGCGATTCTTGCGCTACATGAATCCTCTACAAACTATTATATTGTGAAAGTTGAATCGTTACAACGAATACTTAATGTTAGTCCAGAAATGACCTAGGTTGTCTCGAGTGGACGTATTATAACTACCTATAAACACTTTTCGTAGGACTGTATCTTTACATACAGTAATAATTATAGGACATTGTTAAGAGAAAGTATAAAAAGAAAATTAAATTGTTACCAATTTTTCTTTGTGGAGTACTTGGTAAATTCTCCATGACTTGTTAAAACTGGAAGAGTTGGAAGAGCCACATATACAGTTCTTAGCTATTAATTGTGACTTAAATAATACAACACAGACACAAGGGTTAAACGGCGTGTTATAGGAAAACGTCTACTTGTTTGTTGTTTTTTTAAAAGCATTTAGATTTCATTTCAACCAAACCAATAACACAAACTCGCAAGAAGTTATTATCTAGCCCATGTACGGGTTAATTTCTATTTTATCCAGAATGTCAAAAAAGAAAATCCAGAATTAAAAATGGCGCCCACCCATAATAAATGAAACTCATTGAGCGTATAAATTCATTATAGACTCTTACCTTCTGGCCCGAGTCGAAGAGTTTCTGGTCAGTCTAAGTATTGGAACAACTATGATGATTAAGCACAATTTCAGAAAAAATAGATAGACCAATAAGAGTGCTGAATTACCGGAACGCTTCTTTAAGATACCGTAATCCCTCGTCTCCCGCCATTGGAATACACACTTCCGGTGAAAACGTATCGATATATTGGTGCAGTGGGTTTTAAACGAAACGAATTATTAATGTACATAGAAACGATATCGATGCTAAATTAAATGTTACAAATACGTGGTATTATTTTTGTAAATAATTTGAAACCTGTATTCTCTGTGTCATTTATATTTTTAAAAAAAAACCCAAACAAAACCTGCGGTATTGTATTCTCTGTGTCATTTATATTTTTCAACAAACCCCCCCCCCCAAAAAAAACAAAAAAAAACCCCAAACAAAACAGCTGCTCAAAGACGATATCAGCACGCTTTTGATACTAGCATAATACTCCAAGAAAAAATTTACCACACAGAATATAGTAAATAAAGTATAGTAAACTTAAATATCAATACAAGGTGTCTGAACAATTCGATTATGAGATGGATTTGATATTGATGTAAGAGAAATTAAATTTGATTGGTTACTTTTCAGTTAACCATTAATGTCCAATTTCGAGTTTATCAAACAAATAATTTTTTTTTTTTTCAAAAAAAGAAAGAAAAAAGAAGTAATAATTACGTTGTCATAATTCGACCACTTTATTTTAATTTATTGTTATAATTTCAGTTGAAACCTAATGATAGATTAGACTTTTGCACAAAACAAACAACAATTTGAGCTATGGTAATAGATTAAACTTACATGTAATTCATAACAGAATAATATAAGGTCCACCGTGATTTATAGGACGCGAATAATGTTTCAAGGCTTCTATTATTTTAACTGATCATGAATTCTTGTCGTTTCATTTTAACGAATCAGTTGATTAATTAGTACTCACACCCTTCCTATGGGTTCGAATTGAGCCTTGTAATTCATTGTGTTGATTAGAGTTGAAAATGATTATGGATCAATTGTTATTTTATCAAATGATAAACAACTCAGTTGGTATTTGTTTTGTAATTTATATTTTGACCAAACTATTACCTATAGTAACGACCACATTCCAAAGAGGTCACTTTACAGCATTTTTCTGCATAGCTACGATCCCCCCCCCCCCACCTTCCTCCTCCACCCACCTTCCTCCTCCACTCCCCCTCCCTCTCACCCACGAACGACTGAATTGAAATGTCTTTTCATAATCACAATCCAAGTGAGTCTAGAAACTTGTGGGCTCTCAAATTCAAACTTTCTATGGAGTTCATATTTCATAACCACAAAATATTTGTTGATGGTACATGCTTATATGAAAAACAAACTCACAAAATTAAAAAAAATATACACAAGTTTGCATTAAAAGCAACACAAGCTTGTGTTAATGAAATGTAAAACAACACAAACCTGTGTAGAATAATTTTCACACAAATTTGATTTTGTTCGGTGTTATATATATTAAACCCCTCATCCTGTCAGATATAGATACGTGTATTTACAATTTATATATAAACCATGTGTAAGTGGAAATATAATTACAGCGAGTGTGTATGACAACGAAATGTGATGAAATCAATGAGGAGGCACGCGCCAGTCTAGTCCGAATTGGTGACTAGTTATCTTTTCTTAACTTCGACATAATGAGGTTTAATTGTACTTATTGACCCGTCTTTTTCAGGTACCGTTCGGGCATTATCACGTGCAAGCTGACGAATTCATCACCAAACCCAGAAATAATCTCAGTTGTGCCCAGCTCCACACTAGAGACAGAACCAATGAAGAACCTATCAAATTACCTCCATGTTCAAAAACACACCATCGTGCAACGTAATTTCACTCGATGCGTTCCGGCTTTTTATGACTTTCATGACAAAATGGCGCTGATTCAAATGATGGAAACTGATCGGATGTTTGGTATGGAAATGTTTATGATGTATGATTTTCGTGACTCCACAGTGGACGATGTGTTGAGATATTATCAACGAAATGGTGTAGTGAAGTTACAACAATGGAATTTACCCATTAACACGTCTGACATTCACTATTATGGACAACTGGCACATGTGCATGACTGTCTGTACAGAAACATGTACCAATCAAAATACGTTCTATTCGCTGACGTTGACGAAGTAGTTGTCTCTTCTCTTTTTAAAACATGGCATGGCATCACTGACAAATATTGTCAAAATAAAAACTGTGCCGCGGCGTCATTTACTTGTGCATTTTTCCCCACATTTCTCAACTCAACTGTTAAAAATTTCACAGGTAGAAATGACGCAATGAAGTACAACATGACGTATTTTTTTAAAACTACGCATGCAAAAGTTCTTCCAAACCAGGGAGCTCGCTCAAAGGTCTTGGTTAAACCGGAATGTGTGTATTTTATGGAGATACATAAGGTTGCCAAATTCTACAGTAAGGCCCACCATGAGTGTTTAGTTTCTACAAAAGACGCCGTGTTGCACCACTACCGATCAAAGCACTCCCTTGACATGCGCACTCCTTACGCAGAAGAAAACACAATGCATACTCTAAGTGAACGACTGATTCCGAAGATTCTTAAAACTTTTACTAATTTATAGACATATAAAACTTTAATGTATCCCTTTCTAGATTGACCACCACTCACCAACACCACCCTGCTTTACAAAATACTATGTCCAGGTGTGAGATCCCTGTCCAGTATCTAATCTATAGTTGCTAGAGTAGATGATGCAATCATAACGGTAAAATGAAGAATAATGAGTCACATGATGCTTTTTGGCGCGAAAGAGAGAAGAGCGTTCCGGGTAGGAAACATGGCGTGTGTGCCAGGCAGTCTAGCCATTATGATGTTTTATCGATATTGTGTATACATGTAGTTTACAGTAGTTTTCGGCGGTTAGCCATCCTGATAGAATAGGAGAGATGACATTGTGTAAATGTAAACTGTAGTGTTACGGTAACTTTTGTATTTAAGCTCAATTGTTGAATGGTTATTAGCAAACCACGTTTTGACATGCCACACTGTACGTAAGCTAAGACTGTAACTTGTGAAGTCGTAAAATTGTAGCTGATCTTATCGTTGAACTGTTACATTAAACTTTATTATAAGTACTGTGTAGTTAAATAGCATTTGGGGCTCATGTTCATATAGACGCAGGGAAGCAGTTTAATTAAGTACCGGTAACCATAAAGTCTCGGTTCGTCTGCAATGTTGAGGACGGGATTACAATAAACACTTTCTGTTGCGGTATTAGGGCAGGTCTGTGACACCAGGTCAATGTCAAAAGACAGTTAATCGACCAGAATGAACATATCCCGCAGACTAGTGCCCCCTCCTCAGTCCCGTCCCGTCCCGTCCCGTCCTAAACGTTTTGATGTGTGTATCTTGACAAATATCCTTAATTTTCAAACCTTACCTTAGTCTCATATAGCGGCCATTCACATGAAAATACGATTGGTCGACCAGTTTGATTTAAATACATACTCATTTGAGGGTAACCTGTAATACAATACAATAAATGGCGTCCCTGAGTACATTATTAATTAACATTATTCTTAAGTCAGGTGTTGTTTGGTAGTCGAGTTGTCTAACGCGTGCGTTCTAGATCATAAGGTCTGCCGTTGGGTTAAGTGACAACGAGTAAAGGTCACATGCCTAACTTTGTGTGCGTTTGCGCGTCCTTCGGTGACCCCTACGAGTTATTGAAATTAAATTCTGCCATGTTAGTCCCGAAATAATCCAGTTTATGTCGAGTGGACGTTATATCCCATCTGGTGCCAGGGCCAGTGTAAATTTCTCTGTTGGGATGGCAAGTGTTAATTTACCCAAGAACTTGATAAACTCAGATGCTCGGAGACAATATTTCTGTTCATTTAGGTGTAAACATTATAGGGTAAGAATTAGACTGAGGCTAAAATGGCGACAAGGCTAAACTGGCGAAAATGCTTCGCACGTTTGTTTAATCGACGTTAATTCAATGAATGCAGTTGAAATAAAAAATAAAATATCCCCCCCCCCTCCCGGACCTCTCCCCTTCGTACACACGAAACTGTCACTAAAAAGAAATGAAATGAAATCAATCCATCCATCCATATCTTGTAAATGAAATAGGATTAATGTTCTATTTTTCTTCTCCGACTGGTCTAATGATGACGGCCATACGCCATACAGTGTAGTGTGCTATGAGGGACATTCTGGCCGGACAGCGGCGCAGCGACCTTCTCTTATATCGAAATTCAACTATCGAGGGATTTTTTTACGTGCACGTCAATGTGTACACGGAACCTTGGAGTTTCGTCCCATCCGAACGACTAGGCGGTGTCCCTTGCCAGGCCCTCTGTTCTGAACGACTGGCAACGGGGACTGAAAAGAACAACATACCACGAGCCATGTCTGCTGGATTAGAATTGCAGCCATCAAACTTCAGTAGATCCACGCCCCAATCAGCAAACGTTTGGGCATCTAACTGTAAGTGGTATTCACTTCCGGGAAACTTGGCACATGTCTGAACGCCAAAGTCTTCGTATATGCCAAACTTCAGTCCTCTTGAATGAATCTAGAGTTTGCAGAAATGGAAAAGGTATTTATTTAGATATTACGTTATTGATTAATACAAAATATAATAAAAACAGCGACTTGTAACTTGTAATTGTTATTTAAACATGCATTATGCAAGAGCTAAATCAGTCGATTGCAGGTGTTTCTTCAGGCCTGAAATGTTATCTAAATTATTAATTAGACGTATCAAGACCATAATCACCTCTCGGTGCCATCGTTAGCCTGCGATATTTAGTGGATTAGAATACATTTTGTGATGGATAATTAAACGTAAAAATGGATAATCGAGTCTTTGTTTATTATCGCAAAGTGAATAATGACGACCGAGGTTAGACTAAAATTGAATCGCTAATATCTCGGTCCAGAGTGAACTTTGGCTGAACTTTTTTGTATTATAGCGAGAACTGTCAGCTATTTATCTAATCTTACCTAATGCCCCTTTAAGCACTTACTAACATGACAAGACCATTATCAACACTTTGGGTCATCGGGTGGCTTAGCTTTTGAATCAGTCAGAACAACCGCTACATTTAACATTTTAATAACAAAATGGATAATTGTGACATTGTTTATTATTGTAGCTATAGTCTTTCTTTATATCTCCACCGTGGTTTATAGCTCCCCTAAAGACTTAGATCCTACTCAACAATAAGAGAGATACTAGCTCGACGGTGTTCCAATCGCTCTTTAGAGAGCTATAAGGTCTAAGTATAGTGATCATGTTCCTATTTTTACGGATGGTCCGAAGGGTGGTGATCGGTTAGCTTCGACTACCGTGACGCCATCTAAGACCACATAAATATGTCCGTCTTCCACCTCCTGCTTCCATATTTACAGCTGAGCTTCAGGCCATTCTCGAGACCTTGGAGTTCATCCAAACTTCAAAACACTACATCATGTCATCTTTACAGAGTCTCTGCCCCCTCTTCAAGCAATTAACAATAAACAGCTTGAACACCCATTAGTAGCAGACGTTACCTTTTAAAGATTTTAAATTATCAATAAATCATTTCTTTTGTGACCGCTGGCAATGGTCTTGGGATCTTGCAGGCACCAACAGGAGGTATGATATTGTTTTGTGTCGCTCACGCAATGGTCATACTTTTAGAACACATTATTTTCATTTTAAAGCGAGCGCCTCAACCGGAAAGTGAACATTGTCAAGTACCTTTGGCGTTTAAGCACATTTTGATTGAGAGCAAGCATCTCTAGAATATTAGATCAAAATATTACCGCTGTCACACATTACACCATTTATTTGCGAGAGAGAGAGAGAGAGAGAGAAGGGGTGAAACGTCCACTCGACACAAACTAGGTCATTTCGGGACTAACATATGGTTTAATTTTATTTCAATAATTCGCTTGCGCGTAGGGGTCTTTAGCAGTGGGAGGAAACCGGAGGACCCGGAGAAAACCCACGAGGTTGGACAGGGGACCCTACTCCTTGCCACGTACAACCGGGGATTCGAAACCACGCCAGTTGACTCAATGACAGACTTTATGATACAGCGCGCGCACGCTAACCAATCAGCCATCCAACCCCCCCCCCCCCCCCATTTATTTCCACAACCGGAGCTATATTGTAATATGCTAAAGAGACAAATGTTTATTATAAGTTTTTATTGTATATGTCATTGTATATAAATGGTTTTCTTTCATTTTTATTGTTTATATTCATAGAATCCTTGATATTTATTTGATAATTATCTGTGGTGTTTGTTTTTATTGATGGACATAAATATATTTCTGTGAATTCATTTGTTTTGTCTCGAATAAATCAACATATATGTTTGGCGCAATATAGCCTGGTTGGAGCTGACGTGCCACAAAACCACATATCATTCATTCATTCATTATTGCAGCCATGATACTTGACAATCGAGACTAGCTTGTGATAACACTGATAACTTCGCTCAAATAAAATATAGAATTAAATATATATTTATTTCACCATGTCTATTTTGGAACTATTATTGCGAGAACGGACAGCTATTCACCTAATTGTGTTGAGTGGACGTTAAACCCCACTTCTCTCTCTCTCTCTATTTACCTAAAGCCTTACATAATGCATCTTTAAATGTAAATAAACAACATAAAATGTATTTACATAATCAGCCAAAGCCTTAATTCCACCAGGGAATCTTAATGGATCAGGCTGTAGTCGACCATTTGCATCTCTAGTGGGAGCCAACCAACAATCATCTATACAGACGTATTCATAGCCAGCATCCTTATATCCGTCTGCTACGATACGATCCGCCATTTGTTTATATAAATTCTCACTGAAATAAATATGAGAATCAATGAAATCTTTGTCTGCGATATCATCCTAGGTGAAAGCAGACGTAAATCCCTACTGACTGACTAATATATTTACCCACAGAAATACAGAACATAATAGAAATGAAATGAAATAGAGTTTAACGTCCTACTGTTCTGCTCCGACTGGGCATACGCCATACAGTATGCTAAAAGGGAAATTTTGCCCGCTCAGCGGCACTGTGGCCTACTCTTGTATCGAATTCCAACTGCCAAGGGATCTTTTACGTGCACGCCAATGTATACAAATGTCCTCGGTTTTTCGTCCCACCCGAACGACTAGGCAGCTGTGCTTGCCATACGCCATACAGTATGCTTAAAGGGAAAATTTGCCCGCCCAGCGGCACTGTGGCCTGCTCTTATATCGAATTCCAACTGCCAATGGATCTTTTACGTATACGCCAATGTATACAAGTTTCCTCGGTTTTTCGTCCCTCCGAACGACTAGACAGCTGTGCTTGCCATGCCTCCAACCTGCACCACCGACAAGAGGAAACCACGCCGGAATATCCCGATGAACATTCTCGGCCAACGCTGGGATCGAACAGCGACTTCCAGGCTAGCGAGCCAGTGTCTTACCCACTCAGCCACCGTGGCTCCCCAGAACATAATAATAGCGTGTTATTTTAGGAAACCTACCCTAATACGCGACTACTTTAACTTTGTATGTTCCCTTGAATGGAGAAATGGGGTTCAAACTCCTATTTTACTGCACCGAGTGGGCCAATGAAGACAGAGATACGTCATATTCAGTATGCAATAAGGTAAACTCTGCCCGCGTGTCGGCCTTCCCATAAATCGAATTCCAACTTTCAAGGGTTCTTTTACGTGAAAGCCAAAGTGTACACGGTACCTTAGTTTTTCGTCCCATCCGAACGACTATTAGACGTTGCCCTTAACAGACCTCCATCCTGCACCACAGATAAGGGGAAACCTACTGATTAGCGAGCCACGGTCACCTTGAGTGGGACATAAATCGCCTTAGGCATTTGTCCAAGAACGTCGCCACTTACCCGATGCAATTATCTGGGTCGTTAACACAGTCGGTATTACACAGAAAACGTTCCCATGACAACCACCCCATCGGTGGAGTCAAAGCCAAACCGTTGTCCAGGCTGTAACCATGGTTACAGAATAGCAAAACAATACCAAATAATACCACAGATCTCATCTGAAATAAATATAGAATAACAGGTCAAGTACCGACAGCTGCACCTGAGCTTTCCTTATTTCTACTTAGGAATAGACAGTTACCCAATTTTTGGAGACAAACAAAACATAAATTATCGATGTGTTTTAAGATAAAATGTCCTTCAACCCAGTCTGGACAGATGGCACCTGTAACAGACTTTGTCAGACGTCGTCGATTTTCTCCCGATTTTCCGATTTCCTTCTACAGCTAAAGACCCCTACGAATTATTGAAATAAAATTCAACCATGTGTTAGTCCCGAAATAAACCTAGTTTTTGTCGCGCGGAAGTTAAACCCATTACTCTCTCTCACTCTTTCTAAGTGCTATGAGTGAAATTTTGCCCGGACAGCGGCGTTACGGCCTACTCTTATTTCAATTCCAACGCTTCTTTTACTTGCACACGGGACCTCGGTGTTTCGTCCATTCCGAACGACTGACTATACGTTGTCTCATGCCAGGCCCACTGTCATGCACCACTGACAATGTGGTTGGGGGGGGGGGCGCCAGAACTTCCCAATGAACTTTCTCTGTCAACGCAGGGATCCGACACGGGTCCTCAAGATTAGCGAGCCAACGTCCTACTTTCTGAACCACCATGGGCCCGTTCCTCGTTAGTCCCTTTGTCATACACTACTGAAAATGAGAAATGACGCTCGAAAAACCCATGGAACGCTCCAGGCATTCTCAGTCTAATACCGAAAGCTTTATGATTTTGTTTTACAGACCTTCAACTGGGTGTTATGCCAATCCTCTTTCACTATACAGTAAAAGGGTTCACAGCTAAGATGTATATAGGATATAATAATATATGTATAGACGTTTTATCTTCGATGGCTATTAATAGTCTATTGTTGACTTTATGTTTGACAAAAAAAAGTATACTATCAGTCATTCCTTGGATGAGGTCAAAGAGGAATTGTACACGCGTTGACCTATATATCATGTTAGGCCTATTAAGCCTCTTCAATCCCAACTGGTAAAGGTGTGATGTTTAAATTATTATTGCTTTCTTAGCTGACAAAGGTAGATTTAAATGGATAAATATACTTGGTAGTCTATATTCCATTATTTGTCCACATATATGTGTGGTTTAATGGTCGAGGGCGAGACATTAAGAAATATATTGAAACAACACGAGGGACGTCACCCCGACGTTTTACGACCTTTCTTTCTTTAAAGCGTGACATGAAACGAAGCTGGATTCATTCAGGTCACCGCCAAAGTTATATCTAAACACTGTTTCCATAAGTTTCCGTGGTTTCTAGAAGTTCGGTCGCGTTAAATTTTTATAAACGATAGATTTCGATGAATTATCATGATCTCATTACACGTGGGCCTGTATAGACCAGGGGCCCAGGGGGTCAATCTAGCTGAAAAGTGTACTAACTCTATACTATATGGTATCAATGCATGTATATCTGGTATCATCAGAATGTCAGTCTGCCGGGTATCCTGTGGTTGATGTGGTATTCCACGTCCAAAATGTTATGCCCCCTACTAGGATAGATTAGTTCAAAGGTGTACCACATGAAAATCGTACAGCAGTGTACCGTACATCTTCAGGTATTTCAAAAAACACTCTGACAGACATTTCTAGTAGTGGGGAACCCATGACAGTGCTTTGTAATTGCCAGACATTTTTAGTGGTCGAGCATCCCTGACAAGAGTTATCTAATTTCCAGACCACAGCTAGATTAGATTAGTTGAAATCTGTACCACCTAAAACTGCTTTGAAGTTGTTCAGTACCACCACAGTAATCAGGAATATCCACTGCCAGACAGTTTGTGCGGTGGGTTACCCCTAACAGACACGCCCAAATGCCACGGCCCCCAACTATGATAGATTATCGCACACTGTTCCCGTGGCCAAAAAAATAAAAATTGTGCCAGGATGCGTAGAATACTAATATTCATGTTCCTGAAGCAGCGACTGCGAGTTTCACAACATCTGGCCGTTGCTTCTTTACTTCACAATGTTATGTACAGACACGCGAGCAGTAGCGTCTAATCAGATGTTGTGACATCGCGACCTCCACAGAAACCTTGACATTGAATGAACCATGAACTTTGCAACTCGATTATCACAGGTAGACATTTTAGCTTGAAAGCTCGAGACTTGGTATTTGCGACGATCGAGGAATCTGATAGGCTCACAAGTTGGGCTTGTACCCAATCGAAATTAGTGCCGCAATATAAAGGCCTTTATAAGATGTACGTAGTTATAGCGAGATCAAGCCTTCTATTGAAGATGACTAATACCTAGCACGTATAGAAGAGGCGATAAATAGATACCCGGCTGACTTACATTCTGATGATACCAGATATGCATGCATTGATATCATATATGATGAAATTGGTACACTTTTCAGTTAGGTTGACCTCCTCGGCTCCCGCTCTATATATTGATGTTAGGACGACACTGTATCTAGCAAGATTCTTAGGAAATATACTAAACAGCAAAAAAAACCCTCAAAAACGTCAGTACGATTTCAAAATCAGAGATACACTTTAATCAACTCTTCTAGAAAACGACTTCAATTTTTTGTGAACAGTATGTGACATTCCAAGACAATTACGAGAAGGTTTAGAGTCTGTACACAGTCTATACATCAGTATCTGGTGTGTCCACCGCGAGTGTCAATAACAGCAGCGCAGCGTATGTACATTGAGTGGACCAGACGATTGATGAACGCCATTGGCACCTGGAACCACACTCTCGGAAAATCCTGGCGCAACCCATCGGGTGTGTTTCGTCTCGGTACGACGTAAAGCCTCCTCTGAATGTCATCCTAAAAGTATTCAATCGGGTTTAAGCCGGACTAAGGGCTGGCCAGTTCATAACGTTGACACCGTTCTGCTGTAGAAAGTCCCGAGTAACTGGCGGTCTGAGAACGGGTGTTGTCATGCTGGAAAACTTTGTTTCGATGACGTGCGAAATGTGGTATGACGTGGGGTCTGAGAGCTTTACCGATGTAGCGTACTGCTGTGATGCCGCCTCCTCTCCCTGGACTAACATTTTGGAACACCACAGAACCTACTCTTTGGTTCAGGCCGATTCCACCCCAAGCCATTATGCTTTGACATCCCCATGAGTCTCGTTTCATGACACATTGGTCAGAATAACGCTGGCCACGTCGACGCCATATTCTCGTCCAGCCATCTGCAGTTGATACGCAATACCGACTCTCATCAGTGAACAGAACAGTTCTCCATTGCCCGAGTCGCCAGTTCTGGTGCTGTTGGGCAAACTGTACACGTTCACGTCGATGGCGAAGGGTGAGGCTCGGTCCACGGTAAGGTCTACGACAATGGATGTTATCTTTGGTGAAACGTCGGCGCACTGTATCGGTACTGATGGACCTTCCGTGTGTTCCCACTGTCTGACGTGATGTCTCAGATGCCTGTGTGAAGGGATTCTGCACGTGCTGTCGCACAACATGGCGGTTTTGTTCCTCTGAGTTGTCGTGAGTCGTGGTATGCTGCTGACGTTGTAGTGTGAATGATTCAACCAGGTATGGAGGTGCATTTTATAATGCTGATCCTGGTGAACAGCACGTGCAGCATGAGTTACATGAAAATCAGGGAGAACACATTACCATCTCAGAAGTCAGGTTGCGTTTTTGAGAACATTTCCTGGGTTCAATTCTGTGTTTGGGAAGGAGCCTTATTGCTCAGGTAAAGTTGGAGATGTGGTTACAAATATACAATAAAAACATTATGCAAAGCGTCTATTCAGAGTAACATACCGACCTGACGTTTCTTTTGCTGCTTAGTATAATGGCCTGCAATATCAACCTCGGTAGAAGCTGACGTTAACATCCACTAAATATCGTTCATATTAAAATGCCGGAGTGAAATAAAATTGTTCGATGACCTTGATCAATAAGTGATAACATACACGCGCTTATTGTGTCGCCGTAATATCTGGTAGACTAGTTTTTCCAGACTAATGTTCGTTGCAGTCGCAGATGAGACTGATAACCCTGGGATGATCGGGTCTAGATGGAGATTAGTTAACAAATGTGATTCAAGGCTGTATCATCAAGGCCACATCGTTAAGCAATAATCGTGATGCTCCACATCTTATACGGTAATCAAATAAAAGGAATTAGACCATTAACAGGGATGTTGCTGTCAGCGAAAATCCAAAATGTAAGTAGGCCTAGGATCTGTTTATTTTTAGAGATCAAGAAAGCTTTTCAGGACATCTAAACATGTAAATCAATTTCAGCTGTTACTCCCGGTAAATTTAAAGAACACGATTTTATTCATATTAATTATTAATGGTTGCCTGTTGATCACATCCCACCCCCTTATTACAAATAGAAAATTGGGTAATATTAGGTACTTCTTATTCAATAGATACAATTTCCATAATTACTTGAACTTGAGTGACGAATGTTTGATCGTACTACCTCTGATCCATTATGTCATCGGCACCATCTTGGAATCGAGAGGTCATCGGTCTACGTTGGTTTTTCGAGCCCCTTCCAGCAGAGTAATCATATTATTCTTCTCTCTGTTATTTGTAGGTTGAGGTTATCCTATTGCTAACTCTATCGTGGTGTAGTCTTATATACAGCCTGGATAATGGACTAGCCTTGACACCACCAATGGGGTGGTTGTCATGGGAAAGGTTCAGATGCAATCTGGACTGTGAGAATGACCCCCACAATTGTATAAGGTAAGGTGCAAAAAATAGTAACGATACTTATAAACCTATAACGCCAAATCTCTTTGATCAATGGGGTATATTCTATGCGCGGAATAACTTGAGGTCTGAAAGTTGGAGGCGGCTTTGGATATATATAGGTGAATTTGGGGTTATATCTTCTGAAAGTTTTTCTTCAAACCTGTAATGGCTTATTCTTCCAAGGTAACTTTTTTTTCCATAATAAAAGATGATATAAGGTTTTTCTTACTGGAACTCTGGGATATTCTCAATAACGTTTTCAATGAATTGTGTCCAGTAATTAACTTTAGAATTGTAGATCCGGGTGAATGACACTTATGTAAGATTATGAATAGAAACAAAATATTTCCTGTGGATTTTGGGGCCGCGGTGTCTCAGTGACTAAGACGTTGGCTCACAACCTGGAGGTCCAGTGCTCGATCCCTTTGTTGGCCGAGAAGGTTCATCGGGATTTTCCGGCATGGTACGCCTGACCGTGGTTTAGGGCGGACGGACTGACAAGGGACAACTTGTCTTCGTTCGGATGGAACGAAAAACCGAGGTCCTGTTTACACATTGGCGTGCAATTAAAAGAACCCTTGACAATTGGAATTCGATATCAGAGTAGGCCGTAGCGCCACTTTCCGAGCACAATTTCTCAATAGCCCTGCAGTCGAAGCAGAACAATAGGATGTTAAACCCCCATTAAATTTCTTTCAGTGAGGATTTATATAAACAAATGGCGGATCGTATCGTAGCAGACGGCTATAAAGATGCTGGCTATGAATACGTCTGTATCGATGATTGTTGGTTGGCTCCTACCAGAGATGCAAATGGCCGACTGCAGCCTGATCCTAACAGATTTCCTAGCGGAATGAAAGCTTTGGCAGATTATGTAAATGAAACTTTTACTAACTTGACCTTCTAACTATATAACTATATGAAAGGGCTAAATCTGCATATTTCAGATTTTTGTTTTGGCATCAAATGTTACATAAACTTTTATTTAGACATTTATTCACATGCCAACCCCATAATCAACTCGCTCTACCATCGAAAGGCTGAGATTAAAATGGATTAAAACACCCTCGAGATTTAAAAATGTAACAATAAAGTGGATAATCAAGCCTCGAGTGTAAAGTACAATTGCTGCAATAATAAACCATCTGCGCCACAACTTCGCTCAGAATAGAGTTACTTTAAAGAAATTTTCAATATATTCATTTTTCATTATCTATTTTTTGAACTATTTTGCTCTACTGTAGGACATTGACTTTGGAGCCGATTAAATATGGCAATACCATATTTAAATAAACATTTAATAGATGAGATTTGGTAGTCTACATTTATCCTTTCTAGACCACCCCTTTCCACTTCTTGTATCTATTTTCAGATTCATTCTAAAGGACTGAAATTTGGTATTTATGAAGATTTTGGCGTAAAGACCTGCGCTGGATATCCGGGAAGTGAATATTATTTAGAACTGGATGCCCAGACGTTTGCGGACTGGGGTGTTGACTTACTGAAGTTTGATGGATGTGGTGCAAACGCTGCTGACTTTGCGTACGGTAAGTTTGGCGGAAGTGACTAATTTTTATAAGAGTTATATTAGTATTAAGGTACGATGGGTGGTTCCCCATCAAACTGATTGATTGTTGGTTAATCTCCACCCATCCCTAATGGGTAATAACATTTTTAGACCATCAAATTCGACTTGCAAGGGACGATGGCAGTGCCGGATTTAGATGAAGCGAAGACCTATACTATGTCGCTTATGAAGTCCCTGCCTCTCCTCCACCCACATGACCAGAGGAAGATGAACGAGTGTTTTAAACACAATTGGGCAAAGCCGAGGATAGAATATGTCCTATGATACTAACGTTTGAGACCTATCCCAATCCTCCACCCCCACAGCAAGAGGTAGATCAACTAATGTTTTAAACACAATTGGTCAAAGTGATGAATGATGAAGAATGTTTTATTATAATCTGATATTATAATCTCTTTAGGGTATCCTGCTATGACGTTTTTCCTGAATAAAACTGGACGACCAATCTTATATTCCTGCGAATGGCCTGGACACGCCCACAATACGGTGAGTCGCATCTTTTGCTGCATATTATTATCTTTCTCGGCTATTAAAGGGGAATTCCACCAAAGGTTTTCATAAAGTTTAAATATATGTGTAAAGTTAATAAAAGATTCTACTCTCAGGTAAAAGTGATAATATAGAAATATCAGGTTTTAGAAAGTAAAAAAAAACTAATAACTAATTTCACCCACTGCGAAGATCATAAGGCATTTAAGGGTCTTTTTATTCAAGATGTCTGAATAGGATTGGGGAACAGACTTAGCCTCTGTAAAACCCCTCTCCTTAAATATATATTTAGAAACAAATTTTTGAGAAACACATTTCATTAAATCAAGCACTATCTCATAAATGAGGATGCCTTTTGCTTTTTTAATTGTCACGATCACCCCCTACATACTAAGTACAAGAATAAATTATATTTTTATTTTGCTAGGCGAGTTATAGTGCTGTACGTAAATACTGTAATACATGGAGGAACTATATAGATATAAATGACAATTGGCAGAGTTTATGCAGGTCCTGGTGGATGGAACGATCCAGATGAGGTATTCCTACGCCTTGTGTCGTGACATACAATTAATACAAATAATTAAAGCCGCTGTTAAACGTAGCCGCGGTGGCTTCGTACGGGTATCATCATCGAAAAACTTACAGGTTGGTCAGACTGCTGTGTCTCTACGACACATTGAAGTGCTCCTTTAAAGCTACATTATATAAGATTCGGATAAAAGGCTGGCAGTTTTTGCCATACTATACTATTCAAAAAAAGTAGGGGATATTTGATTTTTAAGTGTTATTAAAGTCACCTAATGAAACTGACGAAGAAACAAATGACAAAATGAAATGAAGTTCACATTCATCGATTTATTCCAAATGATCGTTAGACTAAGTAAGGCACAGACTGACCATTATAAGGGTAAAATGATACCCGGGGTCAAACAGCAAAGTTACCACAGCATCACAACCAAGTCAGTAACGGGTAAATCCTCCTCTGTTTGCCAAACAAGCATTGATCCGACGTGGCATACTCCTAATGAGACGTCTAAGGTCATTTTGGTCCAGATTGTCCCATTCCTGTTGCAACGCAGCAGCAAGTTCTTGGACATTGGCAGGACGTTGTTGACGTTGACGTAACCTCTGTCCAAGCATGTCCCAGACATGCTCGATGGGGGAGAGGTCGGGACTCAGTGCTGGTCAAGGTAATGTGGTGATGTTCTGTTGTTGGAGGTACCCTGTAACGATCCTGGCCCTGTGACATCTTGCGTTGTCATCCTGGTAGATGAAACGGCGGCACAACATGGACTGCCAAGATGTTGTCCCGGTAGTACTGGCCTGTAACACGCCCTGCAACAACATGTAAAGCCGTTCTTCCAGCAACAGTGATGCCTCCCCACACCATAACAGAACCACCCCCAAATCGATCATGTCTGATGACGTTAACGTCTTGGAAGCGCTCGTTTCGACGACGCCACACCCTCCTACGTCTGTCCAAAAAATCAACAGTGAACCTTGACTCATCTGAAAACATCACATTGCTCCAGCGTCGATTATCCCAGTGTTGACGATCCCTACACCAACGACGTCTTGCCTGAATGTGATGATCTCTCAAACAAGGGATCACGCGATGACGTCGGGCGCGAAGGTGACCCCTATGCAGTCGATTCCGAATCATCTGGCCACTCACTCTCACACCAGTGTCTGTTTGAAGACGAGCGCTGATCTGATTTGCTGTGATGACACGATTTCTCAAGGCCAAGGTACGGATAAATCGATCCTGGGCTTGAGTTGTCGCCCTTGGTCGACCTGAGCGTGGTCTGTCCTGTACAGATTGTGTATCACGGTATCTGGACCATAGCCTGCTTATGACAGACTGAGAAACATTCATCGTCCGCGCCACAACCGCCTGTGTTGTGCCGATCTGTAGCATGCCAAGGGCACGTAACCTTTCATTTTGGGTAAGCCGACGCATATCAAAATTTGTTTTCTGGTCACTAAAACAATTAAACTGATGTTTCCACCCTGGAATTCAATGCCACAATGACTGTAACATTCAAAGTCAGAGTCGTGCAAATCTTGGGTTGGACCCCCATGATGATCCCAAGCATCACCTGCATTCCATGCGGTAGCTATTGGTGCGTTTGGGCGTCACATGTAACTGGAAATGTTTCTTCTGTTAGGTTCTATAGTGACTTTTTTCGTAGTCATTTGCATATTTTAGTATTATGCCCCCAAAATCAAATATCCCCTACTTTTTTTGAATAGTATATAATTAATATAATTGAATTATTAAATGGCGATCATGTGTTAAACCATTGATAATCGCGACCACACAATCTAGACCGATTAGCCGCTTACATAATACATCTTTAAAGAAAAAAAAATGTAATATTTCTTAAATTAATTGAAAAGGCAAATACTTGTATCCCGTAAGATTTTTTTACGGTTATGGGGCTGGGGATGGGGCTGGATAAAGTCCTAAATAATATTTCTCAACATTTATATTAACTGGGAAATCACTGCAAAAGACCATGTGAATCCGTGTCACATAGCAATGATATAAGCATGATAAAGTCATGTTGATGGTTAAATACTGATTTTCTGTTGTCTACATCATTATTTTAATATTTTAGTTGTGTATTGGTGATTTTGCCCTGAGTTTGGACCAGGAGAGAACACACATGGGAATGTGGGCGATATTTGCTGCTCCACTATTGATGTCCAATGATCTTAGAAACATTCGGAACGTGTCACGTGATTTGCTGTTGAACAAACGTCTGATTGCTGTAAATCAGGATCCTCTTGGAATTCAAGGCAAACTGGTTTATAACGTGAGTAACTACATGTCATACACTGTAAAAAAACTTGTGTTGAAACAACACAAAACTTGTGTTAAGTGTTGAAACAACACAAAACTTGTGTTAAGTGTTGAAACAACACAAAACTTGTGTTAAAATTTATCAAACAACACAAACTTGTGTTGAAACTTGTGTGAAAATCTACACAATACTTGTGTTGAAATTTTTGAAACTTGTGTTGAAATTTTTGAAACTTGTGTTGAAATTTCTGAAACTTGTGTTAAAATTTCTGAAACTTGTGTTGAAATTTCTGAAACTTGTGTGGTTTCATACAAACTTGTGTATAACCATCCACAAAAACTTGTGTTGTGTTTTTCCCCAATTTATATACAGTATAGCAACCTTTTTATGCAGGACCCATCTCTTTGCTCTGTTAGACCTGTAAAGTTTGATAAAAGAAGGAAACAAAATTTTTTTTTGTTTTTGTAAGATTATTATTTATTCATAAAATCATAGGAAAAAGTAAATTAATACATCAAAACTAAATAGATATTTGAAATGTTAACAGAAAAACAGAGAATTCTAATACTAATTATATTGTGTTATATATAATGACCCCCCCCCCCCCACACACACACACACACACCCCACTTTACCCATCACAAAATATAACATAGCTATTTAAATTGTTCTTAACCCCACACACTTTACCTATCACAAAATATAAAATAGCTATATAAATTGTTCTTTACCCCAAAACAAGAACTGAGAATATAAAGATATGTATACAGTATCCCTACCCCATACTCCAAAATATATAATTCAAATAATATCTAAATTTAATAACATCCAAACCAAGCACTAAGATTAATTATGCACTAAATTGAAACAATTTCAAAAACTGAAAAGTGCTACAAAATCACACTACAAGTGATTTGTGAGACATAGAAATAACTAATATACACAGAAAACTAACAAATGAAAAATGCACTATTTTGCAGGAGTAATAAAATGATGTAAAACCTTTTCCTCATTAAAAAAACCCCAAACAAAATGAATATTTTGTAAATAAAAGAAGCAAAGCATCAAGATTACAGGATTGAAATAAAAAAATATCATATGTACAAAAAATTTATATACAATCACAAGTCATAAGCCACAGTGGTTCAGTGAGTATAAGGTGTTGGCCGAGAAATTTCAACTGGATTTTCCGGCATAGTTCCCACTTGTCAGTAGTGTTGGATATGGCAAGGGATAATTGGGTACAAGCCCGGAATCGAAAGAGAGAGAGAGAGAAATGGGGTTTAACGTCCACTTGACACAAACTAGGTCATTTCGGGATTAACATATGGTTTAATTTTATTTCAATAATTCGTTGCGCATAGGGGTCTTTAGCAGTGGGAGGAAACCGGAGGTCCCGGAGAAAACCCACAAGATTGGACAGGCGACCCAACTGTTTGTCACGTACAACCGAGGATTCGAAACCACGCCAGTTGACTCAATGACAGGCCGTAGGATACCGCACGCACGTACTTACCATTCGGCCATCCACCACCCCCTCCCCCATTCCCGGAATCGAAACCATCCCCACTGTGTTCACTTAGAAGAACCCTTGACAATTGAATTATTTGACTCAATGACAGACTTCCTGATCAAATGTGTGCGTGTTAATCATTGCCCCCCCTCCCCCACGGGTTCCCGTTAAAGAATCCTTGACAGTTGAAATATTTGATATAAGAGTAGGGTGTAGGGCAGAATCACTCTAAGAACACAGAAAAGTAGGATACTAAACCGTATTTCATTTCATAAGCAAGGGAAAGTCACCTTTATGTAGGTCAAGGTTTTTTGTAATTCTGGGTGTATTTGATCTACATTTGGTTTCTAGTAATGCCTATTAAATACTTTATGATTTCTGACCAAATTCTAAGTGATTTATATGTCACTTTACTTGCTATATTATACATACATTTCTGAAGAGAATTAAAATCTAATTGTGTTTTGGAAGAAAATTTAACATTAATAACAAAAAATAAATATTTAAAAATTGGGTCAAATGCATTCTTTCCCAGAAGTATAAAATAAATTGATGCTTGGGTTTTCTTGTTGTTATCATACAGCAAATACTCTTTCAATGGTGTTCCAGCCTAAAAAATAAAAAGTAGGCAATAAGAATACTTTCTATGGTTCACAACGTTTAAATAAACAATTTATTTTGCCACATCGAGACCGAGTCTCTATTTGGTTTCAACTTTGCGTAACGCTTATTGTGTCTTGTCCAGTTACAGACCCAGGCAGATTATTATGCTCAAATCAAATGAGTTAGAAGTCAGAAAAAAGTCTTGAGATTTGGGACTGAAGTCTCATAATAGGTCAACTATTCACCCTTTCAAACATGTATTGTCTGCAAATCCAGATTCCCTACTACATCATGGCAGCACCTATTTACTTGGCAATGTCTAATTATTTTTGGACCCATTCTTATTTTATTTCCATTGACAACAAATTGGATATTACCCTTTAAAATCTATTGAAATCTATTTGAAAGTAAAATACTGTCCATCATTATTTTACTGCTATTTACTGTAAAAATACACATACATGTAGGGCCTATCGCAACTTGAAGGAAATCAATGGATGTGATTGGCAAAAATCAAGCATGCCAAGTACTTGAAACAGCAGAGTCCTAGGCATTGCCCCAAGAAGAATAACTAGATTACCAAGCAAGTGTAAAGAAGTACTTCCTGATTAAAAATACAAATATATATGTTACTTACATTTTGCGTGTTTTCCCCTTGTCAGTGATACAGGACGGAGGACCTGACAAGGACAGCTGTCTAGTCGTTCGGATGGGACGAAAAACCGAGGTCCCGTGTACACATTGGCGTGCACGTAAAAGATTCCTTGGCAATTGGAATTCGATATAAGAGTAGGCTGTAGCACCGCTGCCCGGGCAAAATTCCCTTCATAGCACACTGTATGGCATATGCCCGTCTTCATTAGCCCAATTTATGAGCAAAACAGTAGGATGTTAAACCCCATTTCATTTCATTTTCAAAATTATAAAATAATTTGATGGCTTAATATTCAAAAGGTACAGTCCTTTATGTTTATAAAATTGTACGGGAGCCATAAAAAGCTCCTGATACCTTGAATATATGCAGTTTAAAAGTAAACAAAAATCTCAATATTTATCAATATCAATAGCCCTTTCCAACTTGATCTTCCGAGGTGGGTAACTGAAAAAAAAAATGGCAATGTATTAGTTGGCTTAAATTGACTAGACAGTTTTGATTAATTAAAAAAAATGTTAATTTAATTACATTTGTTTTGTTTCATGTGTTGGTTTGCTTTGCCACAGATGAGACAGTGATATTTACATATAACTAAGATTCTGCCTCTGCTCATACATGACGTGTACAGTTTTACTATACTAAACTGAATTTTAGATTTCAAAATAGCATAACAATCTTTTCTATTAGAATTGAATAGTTACCCACCTAGAAAAAGCTGCTCTATCATCATTTTTTCCAGCCATTTCTTCTTCCATTTTTTTCTTTTATAATTTCTTTTGTTATTACATGATCTTTTTCTGGGTGATTTGCATATACATCCAATATTGAAACTGAAAAAATAAATACATGATATGTAATTTACGATTAAAGCTACCTTACCATATATACAAACTGTGTGATATGAAATTGAAACTAATGTATCTATATGTATCAAAAGTTTTAATCCCAAGGAACTACCTAAGCCGTAAAAGTCTATCTTAAGAATCCTTGTTTGTCACATGGTTTAACTGTCGCAGTAATTAGAAGACGGCCATGGTGACTGAGTAAATTAGGTGCTGGCACACTAGCATGGAGGCCACAGGTTATCTCTTGGGGTTGACCGAGAAAGCTCATCTTGATTTTGCAGAGTGGTTTCCCCTGAGATCCAATGTACACATTGGCGTACACATGAAAGTTCTCTTGGCAGTTTGAATTCGGTATGAGAGTAGGCCATAGTGTCGCTGCCCAGACAAACATTTTCACTTAGCACAATGCATTAGACCAGTCGGAGCTGACCAGTAGGACGTTGTCTTTAAACCCCATTTCATTTCAGGTAATCTAGTATTTTTCTAGTAAGATTGAAGTCTCTCTACTTTCTTTATATGTAAATATCATATTTGAAATAAGTCATACTTTTATTCGATATGGGGTGGGGCTGGGGAGAATTGTCTAGTAGGTAATGCATGCGCATGAAATCACAGGGTCTGTCATTGTGTTAAGTGGCATGGTTTCAATTTCAAGGAGTAGAGTCGCCTGTCCAATCTCTTGAGTTTTTTCGCTGGGTCATTCGGTTTCCTCCGTTTTCTAAATACATGTACCCCTACGCCAAGTGAATTATTCATATTAAATTGAAGCATACCTTCTCTAATCTCTGGGTCCTTTTGTTTCCTCCTTTTGCTAAATACCCATACCCGTAAGCGAATTATTCATATTAAATATAACCTTACCTGTCCTTTTTCCCGAAACGACCTAGCGTCTGTAGGCTAAGTAGATATAAGGACCCATCTTGCAACAACTCTACATGTAGGTTCGTGCATAATTAATATTACAGTAACATACCAATTTTTAATACATGTAGAATGAGACGTGTGCAGGGAAAGGGTGGAAACGGAAGTAGGCTAACCCTCGTCGTAGTTGATTACCGGTATGCATATAGGCACAGCATGGACTACTTGATTCTTCAAATACAAGTACATGTAAGGCCTTGTTTATGTCATTTCTCTCTCTCTCTGTTGCATGTAAGTGCCATATAAATACTTTATTTTGGATTGTATGTTCACATACACTAATCATTGTTGGACATTGGTAAAAAAAAAATAGAAAATATAAAAATTAATTGAAATTTTTACCTGTTTTTCTTCGATTCAATGCCAATGGAGTCCTTGGTAAATTCTCAATAATTATTGCTGGAAGGTGGAAAGAGTCACATATCATCATTGACTGGAAAAAATAATAAAACTATAGAGAAACTTCCACAGGCTGATTCTAGTTCCATTATTTATTAACTGTGACTGAATCAGGCAAAAATGGGGCCTGATATTAAATATTACACAGACTCACAGAGGTTGAACAACGGATTACATGTCATTTGGGACTCACGTCATTTGGGACTCAAAAAAATATGACCACGACATTTGGGACTCGGGTATACGACGTTTGGGACTTTGGGACTCGGGATAATTTATTAGAAATAGGCCAATTCAAAACACGAAAGAAAATATTTATTAACATGAAACACGTGGTTAGTAAAAGGCTCAACCAAACGATAAAACATTAGTTGCACTTACGGTTCTTTGATAATCATCGTTTCTCATAAAAGTTTTATATTTATTTAAAAACGAATAATATGCTGATGATTTTATTTGAAAATGACCTACACAAAAAACAAAATAAATATTTACACGACATGCAATCTTTTTTTTTACAAGCCCCTAGAAATTGTTAACGATAATCCGTGAGCTGCACGTTGACATGCTTGTCGTAGATGGCAATACCAATTGATAAATTAGTGCGTACAAGGCAAAGTTTTTTTGTGGAAAATATAAGAAATGGCAACGAACAAAGCGGGATAATTAAAGCTGATTAACTGATAATCCCAATGTTATTACAGTATGTTCAAAGAAACCTAACGGTTCTTTGGTGGATGAGGAAAAACGTGAGTTGTCAATCATCGAGAATGGCGGCCGTGTGTTGATTGCAGTTATACCGTTTCACGAAAAAACATTAGCAGTGGTCGGTCAATCAAGCTCGTTTACTATTTATAACGCAAATTTTTCGTTTCGGTTAAAACAAAATATACGTCCATTTTAATTGGCCGAAGGATGTGTGACTAATAGAAATATGGCGGGCGGACAAACTGACCAAACAGTATATTTCGAGGTATTTGAGGTAAGCTAATTTAATATTATATCATAACTGCATGTGCATACTTGTGTTTCTGTGTGATTAAATATTCAAAAAATCATTCTTAGGATACACCAGTCCGCCTTGAATTGCAATGTTTGTTTTGTGTTCTGGGCGCCATTTTGAAAAAAACTGACATGACCTATATAATACAATCCAGCGATAGTGCAGTCAATTTCCTTTAAAAGGGAATCCGAATTTGTTAATTTTCTGCAATATCACTTCGGTGGTAGCGGACGTTAAATAAAGCTATTTCACGTACAAAGACCTACAATAAAATCCAGGTGAATTGCGAAAAATATTCATGTAATTTCTTGATGAAGAGTAGCTATTTCAATTTGTAAATGCCCAGTCATCTTAGACAAATAATAATTCCAACTTCAAATCAGTTGTATTTATTCAAATCATACTATGAATAATTGTATTTTTCCACTTGCATAATAATAAAAACTTGACTTTTATTATTTTATTTCTCCAGGCCAAGAACATGGAAAATTTGTAATTGCCTTGTATCACTGCTAACTATAAGGCACAGGGAGCCTTGGGCAGAAATGATAATAATATGGTTCTCAGATATGTTACTGTGTACAGACTGAACAAAAAATATATATACACTTGCTATTACATGTACATTATATCATTGGCAATAATAAGATCCAATTTTAGTTTTTAGTTACACACTGTTAACCACCAATAGATGACAATAAATCATAAAATGTATTCAGCTCGACGTAAGACTTAAATAAATAGATACAGTTGGTTTAACTTGAATAGAAGTTTTAATTATCTATGCTGCATATATGCATATATCACCTTGCAGCTGAATCACATTACATATCTTTTTAGTTGATGTTCATATCGTCTTACGTATTTGTCAACATCAATGTGACCTTTTCTATGTCACATTAGCCTTTTCAGACTTGTTACCACGAATGTACTCACCACACCCTCGCATAGTTATGAATTTATTGTTTCACTTGACTAAAGAAACATTTTGTAGGAATGTATGCTTTTATAGATTGGACACTTGTTTGCAATATCATTGTCGGTGGAAACTGGCACTATACCTAAAGAATGACTGAACAAATAGCGGAGACGGGGTTTCAGCCGGCTGATTTAAATTATTTCTTTAAATACAGTAAAGCTTGAAATATGTCAGTTTTCACTCTTTAGAATGTTTTTGTAAATAAGTTTTTATTGTAGTTTCCGTGGCGTATTCCCAATAAGCGTTAGAAACAAAGATATACACCCTTAATCCCGGTGCCGATAAATGTTGGGTTGTGTGGAACATGCTAACAAATCTCGGGTACGATATATGTTTGATTCTGGTTGAGAACAGCATGAGTGCAACATGAATGTTTTCATTGGAGATGAGACGCAAATATTCAAAGGGGTCAGACAAACTCTAAACCAACCGCGTTCCCTTTACTGAGTCCCTTCAAAGGAGGCCCTGTCTGTCTACCTGTGGAATAACATGCATTTGTATCTGTTAAATTTGTGTGGTAGACAGATTGATATTATTTATATAACGTCTTACCCCAAACAAATTGCAAAAGAAACCATGAAGTTTCTGAGAGCGATATTTCGTAATTAGTGTGCTTTAATGGTGGGAGAATAAATAATTTCTTTTTAAATTTTTCAAACACAAACTGGTCATATATAAAATAGCATTTTCTGACAAGACCAGCGATAATCTCGTAAGATATGACTTTTACTATGTCTATTAAATGGTTTTCGACGTCTCTTCAAGGTCACCGTCTTGCGCCAAAGTCGTGAAACGCACCGTCGAGGGATTTGTTGGGGCCTGTCTCCCCCAGAAAAATTTCTAGAAATTTCAAGTCGGTCTTGCCTGGCCGTGAATACGGCAACCTGAAAGTGGTCGATTTTAATGTAGACATCTGAACTCCAATCAACAAATCAATCGACCAGGCTGTTGTCGTTGCATTCACATGACACCAGACGTGTCACCGATGAAACAAATATGCCTGAAACAAATGTCGCTGTTAGTGCGACCCATTTGTGACAATTTCAAGGTCCCAAATAATATTCCTGTTTTACTATTAATAGTAATTCAATCAGTAAGTGCTATTTACCTTATAATAGTCGTCTTGGCTTTTACCCGACATTACACAAAACACCAATGGTAACTGTCGGGTGGTCTCTCCAGTCTTAATGAAGGCGTGGATGGAAAACAGCAGAGACCATGGCTTGTTCACCACCCGAAAAGTTGCATCCATATACCAAGTTTTTGCGCGTGCGAGTAGTTGCATCTGTCTATCAGTACAAAAAATGTGATGGCGCCTTTCCCCAACTTTTACTCTTTTTTGATAAAATCCCGGTGCACTATGATCGATGAAATCTTCGTCAAGCTAAAACAAAAAATAAATAAAAAAGTACATTTAATTACATGTTAATAAATAAATAAAATTGTACATTTAATTACATGTTAATAAATTCTTATATACATGGGTATTTAATTGCATGAATACTTACGCTTGACGACACGTCAGTGGGATCTTTTGGTCGCAGAGTCTGTCGGGTTCTTTGTAGCGACCTTACAAGTGCTGCCATGGGTGGTCTGCTATGAATGGGTTCTTCTGCAGAACCGACACTGTATAAAACTCTCTCCGCTATTGAGGAACATGACTTGGTAAAAACATTTCCTTTGGCTTCATGCTTTGCCTGTAATGATAAGATAAAACATATTAAACTACAAATATATTATTGGTTTATTTATATTTTATTTATTTACACACATATATAAATTTTTAATTTAATTGATACATAATTTTTAAACCTACTGTAACTTTTATCTTGGTAGCCGTGTGTATACCGGGTTCTGCTGGGTGAAGATGGTTCTTTAAGCCTGGTTGGTATGTATCACCATCTTGGATTACTGTTGCCGGACATCGTGTTGGTCCGCTTCTTTTGGAACACCTCCAAATCGTAGTTTTCGTCTCTGTCTAAAATATATTAAATTCATTTATTATTATAGAGTTAACTAGGTTAACTAGAGTTAATTATCTTTACATTTTGTAGCTGAAATACATTTCTATACAAGGTAGTTAACTAGGTAAAATAAATCATCCTACCTTAATTGTATAACTAAACCCTTGGTTGTCAAACAACTTGGACTTGCCACGGGAGGAACCAGCTTCTACCTGCGTATACACCACTACGGGTTCTTCGTCGCAGAAGACACTAACGTCGGCATCGTCTGAGATGGAGGACTCCATGACCGGAACTGGCACATCGTATCGGGTTTCGGCTGTAAACGATTCTTCTACTTTCATAGGTTCAGTTGTTGGGACCTCCATAACTTCTTCTTGTTGTTCGTCCATATCTTCCGTCTGCTTATTAGATTTAAGGTTGTTTTTTTAAACATAAATTAGATTACAATTTAACTAACACAAAAGTGTAAAAAGATTTTTTTCTAGTCTGTGCCCGCGTTTATGTCTACTCTTGGCAAAATCGTTATAATATAAAAAAATCATGAAACAAGAATCAAAATGGCCGCCAATCGGGTCTCCAACGCCAATCCAACCTTCCAAGATATAATTTCAAAACAGATTCTTACCTGCTGGTTCAAGTCGAGCCGTTTCTGCTTTAATCATAATGTGATTCTGTAATGTAAGTATTTGAACAACATCGTAGCGCCGAACAACTAATGTTAATTAAGCATGATTTCAGAAAAATTGAACAGATTTGATAATAACATGCCGAAATTTTTTTCCTGACCGCGCCATATTATAAACATGAACTTCCGGTTTAAATTGTTGGAGTTTTTTTTAAGGAAACGAAATACTAACATTATACAGAGAAACAATATCGATGCTAAATTACATACATGGTATTATTTTTTTTATATAAATATTCACAAACCTGCGGTCTTGTATTCTATGTGACCGTTAGCTTACATTTGTCAAACATATCACTGCTCCAAAATCATTTCAGCACGTTGTTAAATGTTAAATTAATTGTGTGAAAACACTTCATTTAATGTCCGCTTCCACCGAGATGATATCGCAGACAAAATGTAGCCTATAGTACCCTGATTTTATCAACCAATCACATTCAATAACAGTTTTACTTATTTTCTTGTCAACGCATTTGGAGTCAATTGTTAAAATCACACCGGGCATGAGCGCTCAACAGGCCTTTGATCTACCAGTTTATTGGGCCCAACTTTATTTTAACTACAGACATCTTAACACCAATTAGCATTCAAGTCTGTCTGGCTATATTGTCTGAGTAAAAAATACCTTTCTCTTACTTGTGGACCCCGGATTAAGACTTTGTATGGAGTTCAAATTTAAAAAAAAAAATATTTGTTGACGGTACACATTACTCGTGTTAATTATATGGATTAGCATTCAAGTCTGTCTGGCTATATTGTCTGAGTAAAAAATACCTTTCTCTTACTTGTGGACCCCGGATTAAGACTTTGTATGGCGTTCAAATTTAAAAAAAAAAATATTTGTTGACGGTACACATTACTCGTGTTAATTATATGGAAAAAACACAAGATTTGTGTTAATGCATTAAAAAGAACACAAGTTTGTGTTAATGCAATGCAAAACAACACATAACTTGTGTAGAATAATTTTCACACAAGTACTTGTGTTGAGATCCAACACAAGTTTTTTTTCAGTGTATTCATCGTGAAGCTCATACTGCTAACAAATGACTAATACGAGTTTTTGTCATTAAATTATACGTACAATAGCAATGATTATTCTAAACTTATGTTTAATATGTATAGAAAGTGGTTAGAAATTATACAGTTGTCATTAATTATCAGGTGTGTAACTGTCTGTAAAAGATGTCACTGATATAGTGTAAAAACGTGACTAATTATAATACCCATCACTGTATTATTAATAACTACCCATTTTAACATTATGCATAATATGAAATGATGACTTATGTATGTTTTTTTGGGAAAATATTTTCGGTTGTAAAAGTTATATGTTCAGAAGTGACAAATATTAACTTTCCATTGATTGTTAACACTTCTTTACGTGTCCAAGTAAAGTAAGATTTTCTTACTGATCCCGACCCACGTGTTATTTGTTTAAATAAGTAGAGGTCTCGGGTTCGTTACCGGTGTTCATCGGGATTTTCCGCGCAGGCTGATTTCGCCTGGGGGTGGATGTCATAACCGTGACAGCATCTCCTGCCAACTTCCCCTGACAGTTGAAAATCAAAATAATTGTAGACCGTATTCCCTTCTTCGTGTCTCATTAACCCGATATGCGATGTTAAATCTTCTTTTTATTGTTTTACAGTTTCAATCTTGGTGTAGTCGGTGCAGTAAAGTAGGGCGTTTTACCCCATTTCATTACCCAGTCGGTGCAGAAAGGTAGGACGTTAAACCGCATTTCATGTCATTTTGCGTTTTATTTTACAGAAAACAGTTATAAGAATATGGACTAAGCCCATTACTCCTGTTGGAAGTTACGCCATTGCCTTTGTCAACTTTGATGGTGGTGGACGTCCAACACATCTAACGGTAAAATGTGGGGATGTTGGTTTGACCAATGCTGTGGGATATAACGTTACAGATACATTTACTGGAGATGCCGTGGGTACCTTTAAACCAGGAGATGAATTCGACGTGTTTGTTAACCCCACGGGAATTATAATGTTCACCGCGATTCCTTTACAACCAAATTAATCAATTGGAATATTTATATCGGGTGGCCCAGAAAAAAACCCTGATAATATTTATTTAATCCTACAAGAATTATCATGTTTACTGCTATTCCTTTACAGACAAAATAATCATTTCATATATATTGTATAAAAATAATGATGATAATGAATTCAACTTGTTCGTTTTATCGGACAGAAATCATCATTTACAAAGAAATTAATCAATTGGAATATGTAAATAAATATGATAATGAATTCAACTTGTCGTTTAACCCCACGGGAATTATAATGTTAACTGCAATTCCTTTACAAACATCAAATATGTTAACAGAACACAATTCTTATGGGGAAACAATCATTGGTTTTATTGATAACGATACGAGGATACTTGTCGAAACGTCGTGCTTTTAGAATAAAACCGGTGATTGTTTCCGATAAAAATTGTGTTCTGTTAATGTGTTTCCCAATCGCTAACTGCCACTTAAAGATTGTCAAATATATTTATAAATATTAATGATGATAATGACCCCGACCTGTTGTTTAAAGATGCATATCGGATAAAGTGAATAGATCGGGATATGGGAGGGGTACCCGTAAGTGTAAGTGTCCACTGTGCTGTACAGTCCCGGACCTGAAGACTTCACAAATTAGGGGTTAAATCTGCCTATTGGAAGTCTTTCTTTTGGTCTCAACTGTTATATAAACTATTACGTTGACATTTATTCATATGACAAGCCAGTAATCAACTCTCTAGCTCATCGGATGACCGAGATTGAAACACGATTGCAATTTGAAAATTTAACGATAAAATGCATAATCGAGATATGGTCTTGGTAGTCAAGCCTTAGCGTGCGCGCGCTGTATCATAAAGTCTGTCATTGAGTCGACTGGCGTGGTTTCGAATCCCCGGTTGTACGTGACAAGGAGTAGGGTCGCCTATCCAACCTCGTGGGTTTTCTCCGGGTCCCCCGGTTTCCTCCCACTGCTAAAGACCCCTATGCGAAAGCGAATTATCGAAATAAAATTAAACGATATGTTAGTCCCGAAATGACCTAGTTTGTTTCGAGTGGACGTTAAACCCCATCTCTCTCTCTCTCTCTCTCTCTCTCTCTCTCTCTCTCTCTCTCTCATCAAGCTTTATCTTTAAAAATTCATAACTTCGCACAAAATAAAGTAATTTGAATGAAATTTTCAGTATATTAATGTTTCATTATCTAATCTTGAACAATTATAGCAAGCTCTCTATCTATATTTTACATAATGCATCTTTAATCTACAGAAATGAAATGAAATGAAATGGGGTTTAACGTCCTACTGTTTTGCTCCGAACTGGGCATACGCCATACAGTGTGCTATGAGGGAAATTTTGCCCGGACAGCGGCACTACGGCCTACTGTTATATCGAATTCCAACTGTCAAGGGATCTTTTACGTGCACGCCAATGTGTACACGGGACCTCGGTTTTTCGTCTCATCCGAATGACTAGACAGCTGTCCTTGTCAGGCCCTACGTCCTGCATCACTGACAAGGGGGAACCACGCCGGAAAATCTGGATGAACTTTCTCGGCCAATGCAGGGATCGAACACCCGACCACCAGGCTAGCGAGCCAGCGCCTTACCCACTTAGCCACCGTGATCCCCTTTAATCTACAGAGCCTCTTAATGTTTACAGTAGGACGTTAAACCCCATTTCATTTCATTTCTTAATGTTTACCACGATTCCTTTACATGTACATGATAATTAATCATTTCAAATATGTATAAGGTCATCGACTCATAGTTACAAATAGAGAGAGAGAGAGAGTAATGGGTTTAACGCTCACTCGACACAAACTAGGTCATTTCGGCACTTACATAATGGTTGAATTTTATTTCAATTATTCGATAGTTTATACATATTTCATTGCATCAACAAAATTAACTTTGGAACAATTAGATTGGACACAAGTTATTAAAAAAACTTACTAAGTCCTTTCCTTAACAACTCTTCTTATAAGAGAGATTTCACAATCCGTTAAAATACCAAAGGAAATATTTGTATCCATGGACGTGATGTTGAGGGGTAGATAAAACCCCGATTTAGTTTGTCAAATATCACAGTGACAACATACCTGGTCAAGATGAACAAGTTGGGTCTCGTCTTCTATATAGCCGCCATCGCACAAACAACCGACGCAGCTGCTAATAAAATTTCTGAAAGCGATTTAAAAGCTTTCGTGGGTCATGTCTTGAAATGTTATAACATATCTGGGCTATCCTTAGCCATGGTGACCAAATCACAGACCATTTTTACCGGCGGATTCGGTGTGAAAACGTTCGAAAAAGGCGATCTGGTGACATCAAAAACTCTCTTTAATGTCGGATCCGTGTCAAAGTCCTTCACCGCGACTATAGCTGCCGACGCCGTTTCTCGGGGGAAGATAGAATGGGATAAACCGTTAAAGGACACGTTTGGTAAAGATTTCCAACTTTCCGATAGTTTTCGGACGGAGAGAGCTAGTTTGAGAGATGTACTTGCCCACAAGATGTGTGTTCCTGAATATTGGGGTGCCACCACGATCGCGGAGAACATAACACGACAGGAAATGATCAAGTAAGTCTACTTTTAAAGGGTGTATAGCTCTATTCCTTAGGATCTTAAAATAAACGAACATAGAACTAAAGGCACATATTAATGTATGTCTACCTGTAAAATAGAATCCGATTTGTGCATAGAGTAGAGCGACAGGGCCTAGAGGAAACGCCTTCTTTACAAATGAAGTGCACGAAAGATTCCATTTTCTGACTGACCAGATAGAGGAAATGAAATGTGGTTTCACGCCCTTCTTTTCTACACCGACTGGGTCAATGATTTAGATTTTTTTCTCCATTGAATTCCTGTAATTACTTGAATTCAGGTTCGTCAAAGGTTGGTTTTAAAATGATCAATCAAAGTCATTTTTAATAACATATCTTCTTTTTATACGCCGTCGACGATACCCTTTCGACAGCTGTCTGTCTATTCTTGGTGTTGTAAAAAACTCTAGATGTCAGAGATTTAAAATGTATTCCTTCAAACTTGCTTTGTTTTACTAGCCATCAGGAGGAAGCCAAACGGTTTTCCATGGGGTTTTGCATCTGTATTAGGAACCTTGTAACTGTCCACTCGACAAATCTAGGTCATTTTGGGACTAACATGTAGTTCAAATTTATTTCAATAATTCGCTTGCCCGTAGGAGTGGGAGGAAACCGGTGGAACCGGAGGAAACCCACAAGGTTGGACAGGCGATCCTACTCCTTGTCGTTGACTCAATGACATACCTTCTGATCCAACGCGCACGCGTTAACCATTCGGCACCCCGATTTCCCGTTCTGCAGGTCAGAGTTTTTCATTTTCTACTTTTAAACCTGATGAGATTTTTAAGCTAACCCTACTACTGAACGCCATTAAATTTAGAATCGCTGATGGAGTATATATGTTGCCTGACAGCACTATGTTTATTCTATTTAGACGGTTACCATTCTATACGACGTTCTGTGATCTACGAACCGAATACCAATACAGTAATCAGATGGTTGTAGCCGGAGCCGCAGCAGTAGAAATAGCAACATGTCAATACTGGGAGGACGCCATCTTTCAGAAAATTTACAAACCGCTAGGTATATACAAATAACCTTTCGTTGATTTAAAAATAAGGAGAAATGAAACGAAACGAAATTGGGTTTAGCTTCTTACTTTTCTTCACTTATTGGCTAATGAAGACGAAATGAAATGGGTTTAACTTTTTACTGTTCTATATCCAGCTTGGTTAATGAAGACGTGAATACGCCATGCAGTGTGCTATAGGCTCTGTTTGTCCCAGACAACGTCGTTTTTACTTATTCTTATACTAGTTGAGTTCCAACTGTCCAAGGTTCTTTTACGTTGTCCGCAGCCTTTGAACCACAATACCCTATTCTATGGCAGGCCGACCGTTTTACACTCTTGTTGACAACTCAGTGATGGAACAATGGACACCCTATTTAAGTGATCAAACGCCTTACTCACTGAGCCACCTTGTTTTCCCCTTAAAATAGAAGATTTATTTACCGTAATCATTTAGGCATATAGTAGGGTCATTTTGGGATACTGATGCCCAGATGCCAGCAAATTCGCTAAACTTGCTTGCAATGTTATATCCATTTGGACATCGTGATGTGGAACGGTTAACACAGAAAGTCGGAGAGATGTATTTGCCATTAACATTTAAGACTGGATAATCCTCGCGTTCTTCCGGCAAATCACCAATCAATCCACGAAGGTGAAAAGTTCGCTAAAATGTCGTTTATTATCTTTACGGATTGCTTTAAATAAGTTTGATTTTGTGTTGAACAGAAATGAAATAAAATGGGGTTTAACGTCCCATACATCGAATTCAGACTGTCAAGGGTTCTTTTACGTGTGCGCCAATATGTACACGGGACTTCGGGTTTTCGTTATGTTATTCCTTGCCAGGCTCCCCGTCCTGCGCCACTGCCACGGGGAAACAACGCCGGAAATACTGATGAACTTTCGCGGTCAACTGCGGGATTGAACGTCAACGTCTTACTCACTGAGCCACCTCGGCACCCCTGATTTACTTGTCTAGTCAGATATGCGTTAACTGGTCACACTTTCATCTATAGACAAAAGTATTTTTTATATTCCGTCTAAAATGGGGAATTTTAAATTTAAATTCGATTTGATTTCCATCTTCTTGATTTTGTTTCTGTAGGAATGAACGGTTCTCGCATCGGTTCCAGGATGTCAGATGGGGATTGGGCGAACACTGCTATATCTTACACAAATTTCAATGGTAAACCAGTTCCAAATCCTGAACAACAACAATCAATGTAACTAAATTTAGAAAACTAAATTTATAATGAATTAATACACTTGATAGTTTAACTGTTTCGGCGGTGGGGAGTAAGTTTGAAGATAGTGATAAAATCACCATTGTCAAAACCATTAACCAAGAGTGTAGCAAGGGGACTCGGACCTAGGTAACTACCATGGAAACTTTAAGCTGCGGGTATACTGAAATATGTAGCGTGATTGTTTCCTGCATTCCGAATATATCATCGCCTCTCTTTTGCGGCCTGTGAGAAGTCCGGAAGGTAGATAGGCTATCTCGATGTATTTGAAGTCTCGGAAACTGATAGCGAACATAAACTTTTATCTACTGGCCTTGGTGCTGTGGAGGGAACGCCGATATCTTTAATATGAATGTTTAATTACACCTTCAGTAAAATCTAAAGTACCGAGGACATGGGCGAAATACATATGTCTGTATTATTGGTGTTGCTTTTCTTTCGTAGTTGAATTACGGATTTGACGTAATAAGTTGGTGTTGGCAGACCATTATTTAAAATAATGGTACGAACAATTTAGACAATATTAGAGCCAGAGAAATACATGTGCTGAACGGTGTACCAATGAAGTGAAATGAAATGGGGTTTAACACCCCACTGATCTGCTCCTACTGGGCTAATAAAGACGGGCATACGTCATGCAGTGTGCTGTAAGTGAACTTGTGCCCGATCAGCGGCCCTATGACCTACTCTTTTATGGATTTCCAACTGCCAAGGGTTCTGTTACGTACACTCATGTGTACACGGGGCCTCCGTTTTTCGTACCATCCGAACGACTATACGTTGCCCCTTGCCAAGCCTCCCGTCCTGCATCACTTACAAGGGGGGGGGGGGCAGGCTGGAAATTTGTTTAAAGATCTCGAACAAAACATTGCGTAATAGAATGATAACGTGCGCGACACAATTTTTTTCCAAAAATAAATATGATGAAATATTGTATATGATCTATTCTAACTACATGACTATTTGTATATTTAGAATCTTAGATTATATGGGTCCAGCTGCGGGTGTTTATAGTAATGCCGAGGATATGGCCAAATATCTTCGTTTCCATTTAAATAACGGAAAGGTATGATATTTTATGCAAATAGAAAGTGTCTAGCACGTGCTCTTTGATGGGTTTTATCTAGACCCAGGTTCACAGGTGTTCAAAGTATTTAATCTTCTATGTCACAAACCTATTAAAATGTATTGTGAAAAATCCATATTTTGGGATAACTTACCAAGTACTAACCAAAAGGCCACCCAAACTTAAGATACATTATGGAAGATTAGATAACGAGCTGGCAGTTCTCACTATTATAGTTAAAAACTAGATAATGTAAAAATTCAGTCAAATTGATCCACTCTGAACCGATAATTTAGCGATTGAATTTTCGGCCTACATTCTTATATTCTTATATCGAATCCCAACTGCCAAGGGATCTTTTACGTGCACGCCAATGTGTACACGGGACCTCGATTTTTCGTCCGAAACGAACGACTCAACAGCTGTCCTTGTCAGGCCCTCCGTCCTAAACCACTGACAAGGGGAAACCACGCCGGTAAATCCCAATGAACTTTCTTGGTCAACACCGGGAGCGAACCCGTGATCTCCACGCTAACGAGCCAGTGGCTCTTTTTACTAATGATAATTTATGCCATTCATACAACTGTACTTTAAGGACAGTGTATTTACTAACCACAGGGTGACAAATAAAGAATAACCTTGTAAATATAAACTATTACCCAACAGTGCTGAATCTAAAAGGGTAGACGTGGGGACAAACGGCCCGAACCCTCCCCATCTACGGGGAGGGTTACACATTTTGTATTGAGCAAAATATCAAAGTTCCATTCTGTTATCCACCCAGGATATCAGAATGCACAATATCGAAAATATTTTTCAAAGTTTTCTGGGGGAGGACACGGTACAGCCCCCTCTCCCCACCCAACTCCTCACACACTGCTTCAATAAGTCAGTAATTTGAGGGTATTTTTTTTAAACTATTCACAATATTATTCAGGATGAAAATGGAAAACAAGTGATTGCAGAAAAGGAATTGGGAGATACTCACAGGTCTAATTATGCTATTCAACAAACTGATCAAGTCACTACAAATATATTCCCAGTCATGAGTACTATTGATGCATATGGTATGGGATGGCGAACCGGATATTATAGAGGTATTTATTAAAAGCTTTATGGGATGGATATTATAGTATTACAGGCTTATGGTATTCTATGACGGACCGGATAAGTATTACAAGACTATAGACAGGCCACAGATCACCAATTATTTCCTCAATGCTAATTCTCGTTTCTTAGATCGGCTGTATCAGACGAGAATTAACATTAAAGTCAATGAAGCAAATTAATGGTGGTCTGTATGCTACATATATACTCTTCAAAAAAAGTAGAGGATATTCAAAAACAATACAAAACTGCGGAAATGCACTGCTGTTTTTATTAGAGGTAACCAGTGTATGTTAATAACAGGCTAGTTGCCTACACATAAGCATAAACAGTTCCACACTGATCCGCAGTGAATATTTGCTTGGCCGCGACAATCACTGATAAGGATGACATTGATGCGGCTTAATGAGCTAGAAATATTAACTTTTTTCCTGCGACAAATTAAATTCTAAAACATTTTTTGTATATATTGGAAAAATAAATAAAGGCGTTTGACGTATTTGTAGGTAAAAATTATTTCCGATTTAGTGTAAATGGGTATTAAATTGACTAAAATGCAGCATTCTCTCCGAAGCAGTTATGTCTTATGTAAACAATGCACGCGCCATTCAGCCAATGATTCACACCGCGTGCTGTGACAGCATGTGTTAAGGCAGTCATCTATGACAGAGATATTTTACGAGACTCGTAAGTCTCTGTGAAACAGATTGAAACAGTTCATATGGGCGGCTTATCTGACGGCCCAAATTTACTCGAAAAGAGATACACTGTCAAAAGTGAAAATGGACGTTTTTGATTTTTGTCTTAATAATGAGTAATTGCTCCACCAACCCTCAGATATACAGCAATTCGTCGTGGCATGCTCCTAATCAACCGTCCAGTCACGATCTGGGGCAATCTGACCCACTCCTCTTGCAGTGCCACGGCCAATTCTTGCAGTGTTGTCGGTTTACGTTGACGTCGACGAACACGTCTCCGGATCAAATTAAACGTAACAGATACGCTAACGGAAATCTTATGCAAGAACCGATAGGAAAGCAAACATGGATAGGATAAACCAGCAAGCGGCAGTTTTCATCAACCCTTCCTTGAAGTGTCAAATTTGACAATGAACCCCTCCCACGTGTATGGCGTTATTGCGTGTCGCAGGTGCAGCTCAGTGATTCTGTTGGGGCGATAAGTTCTTCGTCTGTGAACCTAATCTCAAAGCATGTCAAGTGTCCATGACTATTTATCATATCACAACCTGCATAGGTATTTGCAGTTCAATATCGCCTACTTTTTTGAAGAGTATAGATAAAAGGCATTCGCCTGAGGAGAGTTGTCCTCCGTTAAAGTCAAAACTTAGCCAAATATATGGTGAAATTATCCTCTTTTTGTTGAAACAGGTTACAGAAAAGTAGAACACACAGGATCGTTTAGTGGTTATACGTGTAGGAATACATTTTTACCGGATGTAGATGTTGGTGTATGGTTATGTGAAGCTAGTAGTTATGATGGTTATACGGCCAATCAACTTGTGTCCTGGTATACACTCGACATGCTTCTAGGTTCGTACTTTCTTAATATTTTGCCGGGAGCTCACCCTTGCTCGGTGTAAACGGCGTAGACTCACTAAGCAGGTCTGGACACGAATGTAAATGTTGGCTGAGAAAGTTCCATAGGATTGTCTAGTCTGGTTTCCAGGTCGGAGAGTTTGGTAAGGAAAGGTGTCTAGTCATTCGGATGACTAAAAAAAACGTTGGAGTGCACGTAACGGAACCCTTGAGAGTTGGAATTCGAAAGAGAATTGGTGGAAACGCCGCTGTCAAGAATTAATTTCCCTCATTGCATACTACGTGGAGGATAGTTGCCCTGGTTGGTGGAGAAATACTGGACTGGTTCATTTCATGTATATTATTTTCTCACTTTATATGCCATCATAAACCATGCTTTATATTTCACAAAAGCCGTCTTCGTGAACCAGTCGGCGCAAAACAGTAGGACGTTTATCCCCTTTTCATTTCCTTCCATTTCCATTCTCCAATATTGTAGCACCATAGGTCTTTTGTCTGACGTGGAGAGCGGACCAGGAAACCGGTCGCCACACCCTACGTAGAATCCATGCACCTTCTTTTACTACATATTTCTGTAGCCTTGTGATCGTCTAGAATTTGTCTCTAGCTGTCTTTACTTCTGCTTCACGTTGTGTATTTACTTCTTACAGTTTCTTAAGACGTTTGTCTTACCAGGAATAACAATGTGATAGTTTGCTTCAACATATATAGCTGAATATAGGTATACAAGCATAATATATAACAATACTAGCTAAAACCATTTCTCTACCCTAGCCAGACTCGCGGCTGTCTAGGAACTCAGATGGAGCCTCTCGGGAACCTAATAGAAGTCTGGCGAATTCTCACCAGTATCCTAATTTTGTATCTACTGGTTTTGGACATTCAATTATCCAATTGGTCAAATATGATGTAAATAATTATAGAGATTGGTTAATTGAGCCCAATGACGTCGACAACCCACCCTTATATGGTGGAATGGAATTTTACTGAAGAATATTCTCATGAGATATCTGTTAACATGTTGTTGACATAGAACCAGTTATGTTATGGCTCTACAAGTGTTTTTATATCATAATATGTCATTCAAACCCTAAGTTGATTTAAGTATTTTAAGTACATATCACATATTATGCGAATATGTTATTTCTCGAGCAAAAATTCTACTAAAAGTATTACAATATATGTTACGTCTCCATCCGACAAACAAGGCATGCGCCAAATAAACCTGGTGATATCTCGACCAATCACGACAGATAAAACGCTTGACTACATGTTTCTATTTTAGGGAGTGACAGAATGGTGTCAGGACTCAATTCTGAATTACTTTTAAAATTGCAAGTCTGTCCATTCGGAATGTTGCCGGTTGACAATCCAACACCCCAACCCTTAACAACAGAACTTGATTACTCTGCCGTATCCCTAACAAATCTATTCAGAAACATAATTTACAATCTCGACCCCAAAGATAACTTTACCGTTTGCAATCGATCACGTGACAAGATGGCGGCGTTTAGATTTTTTCTCTGAAATTTATGATTGTTTTCCTGCTTTTTACCAGTTTTATTTACGATAATATGGATTAAAATATGACTATAATGGAACTGATCCTGTATATATATTTACTGCTGTGATTTGATACCGGATTCTGCAGATTAACGGACTTTTGATACTTCTATATTTTTTCCTTTGTTCTCCCCAAATCAAGATGGCGGACACGAGTCTCAACTCCGATACTGAAGGTATGTCACCAAAGAATTTATCTATTTGTTCTATATAAGTTCGTCCAGTAATGACAACATATCTTCACCAAACATTCAACTATCAGATAATGGTAAATTACAACAGCCATACGAACTTAATCCTACCAAAAGTCTTCAAAAGTTATTGAATGCTACGTTTCGTCAGGATCTTCCAGTATCGGAAACTGGAGGTGGTTTTCGACTATACTTTGCTACTGGTCACTATGTTGAATTTAGAAGCAGCTTAGAATCGGATTTACTCTACTTCCAAAATACTTCCTACAGACCTAACTAAGAAGGTTGATGTAAATGCTCAATGCGAATCGTCGATAATCAGAGTAAATTCGACCGACAAAAGCATAAATTGTAGATATACTATCAATCTGTTTCACACAACAGTCAATGCTCTTGTAAATGGTATAGGCCAAAATGTTTTTATTTTCGATCATCTACCCGCTGTACTTGAGCAAATCAACTTAGACAGAGCTACTATATTAAATACAAGTGTTAAGACGGCCGTTCAAAATCATCCAGTGAAGGACAATATACATGAAACCGACTCAAATTCGTCCTCATATCCACCCAACAAACACAAACAGAGCTCCATAACACAAATTACGACGAATAGCTCTTCTCCGATAGCTATATCACGACAGACCACGCCTACCAGTGCCATTCTCTCTAAAGCAATATCAGGTAAAAAAAACTATGCCTTTCGTCTTCACCATCTACTAGATCGACAATAAGGAAACCCAGTAAACCAGTCACAAGAAGTTCGAAACTGAATAGTAAATTATATGTCACGAAACAGAAGACACCAACCACATACTCCAAAATTGAAGAGCTTCAAACACTTATCTCTAACCTGAAACAAAGTCTAGAAGCTACTAAAAATGAATCAAACACCTCAGTTGCCTTAAATGGAGAACTCGGGGTACTAAACTCAAAACTTACAGAGGAAAACAACGTTTTCTGCAATCAGATAAACGAACTTGCATCTGAAAATGAAAGTTTAAAAATCAAACTAAATAGTAGGCCTATATACCACCTTTCCAACACAATAACTACCAAAATTCTTCTCACCCGCCCATGGATCATCACCACGAAAGAATCATAGAAACACAGAAATCAACATGGCTTGAACGCTATCAAAGGATTAAATTAATTGAGCCTAAACAAAATCTGATAATAGGGTCATCGGTGACTCAAAATCTTCAACCAAATCGCATGGACAGGAGCAGAAATACCTGTATAAAAACAATAAGAGGCGGAAAGATAAAAGATGTTGTTAATTTTCTAAAGCGTTGTTCTAATAAAATCTCTGAACATTATAGCGTAGCTGACTGCATGGGGCAGTATAGGGAACTCACAGGTTTGTGTAAGGGGATGTTTCCTAAAGCGTCGGTAAACTTTCTTGAACTTTTACCGTGGGTCTTCGGAAGACTTCAACATTTCCATTCAAACGATGAATGTGGAACTCCAAAAAATATGCCATGAATACCAATGCAGCTTTGTTGATACTAGATCTATTTTTATGAACAGCAACAACACAATTAACGATCAAATGAAATGAAATGAAATGGAGTTTAACGTCCTACTGTTTTGCTCCGAACTAATTAACGATCAACTCTACCACGGTACTACACATCTTAATGCTCTGGTATCCACCAAGTTAGCGACTCTCTTCAAATCCGCGTTTCAACTTCCACGATAAACAAAGCCAGAGAGAACTTGAGTATTAAGCCGGCACAACAGAGCAACCCCTTCTTTACTTTTCCACAGCATGTCTATCAGAATATGGGATACCCCCACCTACAGCGTATGAACCAGGTGCTTTTCCTCTACTGCCAAACTTCCCCCTTTCATTCCACCTCCAACCCCCGAACTCAACAAAGAAACTTGTTTAAGTAGCAAATGACTGTGCTTTAACTATGTGTGTTACCCTGTTGTCCACCAGTGATATGTACTATGCATGTACTCATAAATACCAAATATTACTCTATGTGCTACCTTGTGTTCTGTGGTATGTGACCAATGTATAGATAAACTCATAGATATTAACTGTGTATACTCGTATTATTACATGTGCTATCTTGTTTTGAGTGAAATGTTAAAGACTTATGCTGCATTGATTACCCCAGGGTTTTTTTAAATTGGGTTTAGCAGGTAACGATCATTATTTTAGTGTTGTATAATATACGTAGTTGACCTCATCTTGTGTATTTATTTATATTTATTAACGATGTATGATTTTTTGACTAAAAAAGGTCTTCATGTGGGACTTCTTAAAGGACAATATTGGTGTCAGCCATTATAAAATATGTGATAGAGCTCGTTAAATACACCCCAAATATAATTTTAACACAGAAATCATTGCTACGGGAGTTGTGTAACAAGCACGTGAAGAAACGGGAAGTGACGTCAAACATGAGTTGTCCTTCTATATAACTGACTGAAGTAACGATTGGTAACAGACAAACGATCGAATTTCATTTCACTGATAATTCCGTTGAAGATGAAAAGTTGTTATATGAGACGATGAGACGATATCTGACAATTCAAAAAAAGAATTGGCTGTCAGTAGATAAAAGATAACGAACAAATTAGAAAAAGTCCGTGCATTAACATGTTTTTATTAAGAACAGAATGAATAAAAAACGGGGGATTTTTCTACTTTTTCTCGTGTCCCTTATCTAGTGACAGTCAATTCTATTTTTGAATTGTGAGATACCCTCTCACCGTCCCATATAATAACTTTTCAACTTCAACGGAATTATCAGTGAAATGAAATTCGATCGTTTGTCTCTTACCGCTCGTTACTTCAGTCTGTTATATAGAAGGACAACTCTTGTTTGTCATGTTTGGCGTCACTTCCCGTTTCTTCACGTACTTGTTACACGTCTCCCGTAGCAATGATCTCTGTGTTAAAATTATATTTGGAATGTATTTAACCAGTTCTATCACATATGTAATAATGACTGACACCAATATTGTCCTTTAATGTATGTCTGATGAATTCATTGCATTCCCTGGATTTCATTCACCTATTAGACGCGATCAGTGTTCAGTTAGCTCCTCTGGATCTTTGTTATGTGTTAGGGATACCATTAATTGTAAAAGAAGAGATGATTTGGAACCAAATAATCTTGAAACTATTTGGGTTGAAATTACCTTAAAGAGAACAAAACCAGTGTTAATCTGTTGTTTATACAGAAATCCAGCATCTGACTCGAAGTGGCAAGATGAATTTAGATCAATGATGGACTCTATGTGGCTTAAGGACTATGAAATAATTTTATTTGGCGACATCAATATTGACCTTTTACACAAAAAAATCTCTCATGGACGAACACATTAAATTTATATAATTTAACTGAAATCATCTCCTCTCCTACTCGTGTAACTAATTCTTCTTCAACTTTAATTGATCATGTTATTGTATCTTCTCCAAATCATATCATTGAAACTGTAGTCCCGTATTATTCCCCAGACCATTTCCCCAATCTGAACGACAGACTCACCCTACCTGCAGAGAAGTGACTCTGACACAGTGAATAGCCATGATATCGATATCACGTTATCTAAACGTCACAGGTCATGAGGTCACATCAACAAACAAAATGTAAACACCATCATTATGATCATTATCAACATTACAAGACACAATGTTACATTGTAAACAATGGCCTTCTTGCAGCCTTTAGGACTGTATAATCCGTACAGAACGTCTTATCGCTTCTTCCAATGATTTGTCACAAAAATAACATCATCTCCAACTCTCGATTTGACGTCGTCATATTGGCACTATTTTGTGCTTCGGTCGTGTCTATTTCAGATATACACAATCAATTCTGTTAATGTTTTTAGCGTGGGGATTGACTAATAGGTAATTTATTTCAGTTCTAAACAAAAATTTAAAACTTTAACGCAATTTTAAAAAATAGCCAAATTCTGGCTGGGATTACTGAGAAAAATGGCCATTCACTGTATACGTGCGAAAAAAAAGCCAGGTACCATTTAATTTTTCTACGTTAGTTACGTACGACCATTTCCCCACATGTATTTATGTATCCTATAGCTTTCAGAAATTTTAGTGACGAAAACTATATTCGCGATATAAGTCAAATTAATTTCGATAAGTCTATTTTGCAAATAACCCCCAAGACGCTCTTACAGCTTGGTATAATCTTGTTACCCCAATAATTAATCAACACGCTCCCATAAGAACTAGACGAGCTAAAACAGCTGTTAAACCACAATGGCTTACAGATGAAATATTTAATGAAAGAACGCGATTTTCATAAGAGAAGCTAAAATGAAACAGAATTTAAAAGATGTCGCAATAGTTTAAAAGCCATGATTAGAAAAACTAAATCGAAATATCTTCAAAATCTCGCTGGTGATTGTAAAAATCCCAAACGAGTATGGGATGCAATAAACTCAGGGGTAAACAAAACTAAAAACATTTCAACTATTCCAATAGATAGAAATACCCTTAACAACTTTTTCTCTGAAATCCCTGATAAAATACTTCACGCGAACAGCGATCACGTGACAAATTCGTCATCTTATGACAATCTGTTAAAAGAGCACATAGATTCAAAAGTACCGACAAATGTATCTTTCCATATTCCCTTCATTAAAGTATCTTTTATGAAAGAGTCTCTTCGGTCGCTTGACGTGTCAAAGGCAGTAGGCTTGGATTCAGTAAATCCACTGTGTCTTCAGTTGGGCGCAGATCACCTTTCCCACAGTCTAACCCATGTCTTCAACCTATCAATAAAATACAATACCTATCCTTCGTCATTTAAACAAGCTAAGGTGATTCCAATTCACAAAACTGGAGCTAAGGATGACCCAAATAACTATAGGCCTATATCTATTCTCTCAACTGTATCAAAAATCCTTGAAAGACATATACACGGGCATCTTAGTAAGTATTTAAATAAATATCACCTCTTGTATATGAATCACTCACATTATGGAAAATATATATGATGCTATAAATAATAATCTTCTTTGTGGTACAATATTTTTTGACTTTAAAAAAAGCTTTTGATCTGGTCAATTATGATTTTTTATTGACGAAATGCAGATATCTTAAAGTTTCTAAAAATGCGTTACAGTTCTTAGAATCCTACTTAAAAAACAGAAACCAGCGTACTTTCGTTAATGGTGAACTATCTACTATGAAGCCTACTCACTATGGCGTACCTCAAGGATCGATATTAGGACCCCTCTTGTTCAATATTTTCATTAATGACTTGCCATTAAATCTCCTTCCAAAACTGACCTCTTTGCTGATGATACGACAGTCTACACCTTTGGCCCAACCGTTGAAGTTCTCCAAACAAAACTACAGCTTGATGCCGACAGAATAAAGGTCTTGTGTAACCAAAACGGAATGAAACTTAATATAACAAAAACTAAAGCAATGCTCTTTACAACCCACCAAAAAAGAAATTTTCTCCCCACTACCCTTGATATAAAAATCGACAATGAATCAATAGAAGTAGTCTCATCCTTTAAACTTTTAGGCGTCGTTTTAAATCATAATTTAACTTGGAAAGACCATATTCAATATATCTCTAAAAAGATTAAGTCAGAAACTTTTCCTTCTCCGTAAGATTAAACAACATCTCCCTCTCTTCCTACCGCACTCTTTTTTATAATGGTCATATTCAGACACATTTTGATTACTGTTCTCTAATCTGGGACTCCTGTGACACCAAATCTCTTGAATGTCTCTCTAGATGACAAATCATGGCCTTTAAACTACTGCTTAATGTCGATCATACCGCTGAACTGTACCCAATAATAACTACCTTGACACTTTTAACAATAGAAAACCGTCATGCCTACAATTTATGTAACTTTATTTCCAAATTTTTTATCTAAGCAATGTCCTGTTTATCTGTTCAATCTTTTGTCTTTCTATGAAACCCCATACACCAACATTAATAACAAACTAATCACAATGCGGCCAAAGCTTATTATTGTAAAAAGCAGCATATGTCCATATATAAAAATAATGTATTTTTCCTTGTTCCACATTTGTATGCCTTTTGCTTTGTTAGTTATATGTTTTGTTTGGGTTTTTTTTTTTGTTTGGTTTTTTTTTTTTTGGGGGGGGGGGGGTATGTGTTATTATATTTGTCTCTTTTGGTGCTGTCATCTTTTGTATTATAATTTCATTCTGATTATTTTATACTCCTCTTCACCCCTCTCTTTTATTTGTTATGCTATCATTTATTGTATTTCATGAAGGGCAGGGTGGTAGAAAGGCTCCCACAGCCTAATCCTTTACCCTTCTTAAATAAAGGTATTATTATTATTATTATTATTATTACATTCAAAATGGCCGGCTTGTTAAGTTTTACCAGAGATAAACAAAGGGTAAACTTATCTCTGGGATCGAGATTGATAATTTTATTAACATTTATTTCAGGTGAACAACCATGGTTGAAACCAATAGACTATCCTGCCGGACGTGGACCATTATCCGCCATATGCAAGAAACCTAAACGTCGAGCTGTACCCTCAACAAGAAGGCCCGTTTCGTCAGCCCCATTGGCATCTCAATATATATATGGCCTTATGACAGCCATTATTTTAGGCTTATTTTAACAAATGGAGTGTTTCATAATCTAGATTGATATATGGCTTTATATTGTTGACATTAATGTCCATCCATAAAATAACATACTATTTTATAAGTAACTTTGTTATATAATATACGGAAATAACATACTGTCCTTGAATACTAAATATTGTTAGCTAATGGTGGGCGTAATAATAGCATTCTATGTGCCTGTCATACTTATGTAATAATAATACAATATATTTTATAAATAACGTTCTTGAATCTGACTTTTGAAAAATACTTTATTGAATGTGATTGGAGGCAGAGAACACCCACCCGATCCAGTATTGTTCCTAGAAGGTGATAATAATAACGAAATAAATCGGAGGTAAACGGCAACCCATTTTTACCGTTCGGTAGATTCATTACATTTATGATGCGGACATAAAGGCCAACACGGTCACTTTGTTATAGAGTCAGTTTTTAAGATAGTTTGAAAGTTAGAGTTATCTCTTCAGTGCGTTTTCTATCTGAGCTACAACTTGGCCATACTGTTTTTAATGACTCCGTTCGGTTGCGTGATTTCAGCATCTCTTGCAAACTACAATATATATATATAGCTATATATATATATAGCTATAGGGAATAGCAATAATATAGCTCCTTTAGTAACACTATCTAATAGTTGAAAGAGATAACATTAGTAGCATAATACTAATTTTAATTTTTCTTGAGATAATCCATTTTGGGATGTGCACCTCGTCAATCTTGTGGTTACCACTGGAAACCATCCCTTGGTCTAGTCTCGGTCATCCAGAACCTCCTAGTCTTTTACCTGCGGAGGGTCTGGGTCAGTTGTCAAGATTTGTCAACCACATAAAAAACAAACACCCGATTACGCAAGGGCAATGGAACTTTATAATATAAATAATGAATTGTGAAGAGAGAAATATTACAATAAAAAAATTAGGAGTGTCGGATATTAATCAACAGATAATGCAAATAGATTTGTCTGAAATGGCAATTCTTAAATTTATTCCATTGGCATCGACATCTTGTTTTAGGGTTAGTTTCCGCCCTTAGATTTTGTTCATGATAACAACATCAATGTTGATTTAAACTTTGCTCTTTAAGCATCACAATATGAACCAATACTATTATAATATCACGGTTGAACCCTTTATGAACTCACCTTGAATAATATGGCCATATCTCTTTAAAGTCATTTAGCAGGATAACATACTATATGTTTATCAATTTTTGTACAATCAGCACAAAACATGAACAGAATGTAACTGACCCGTCCGTCTGTATACTCAATTTTCTTGTCCGCTTTGTAGAGTGCCAATTTTTAAACGAATCGTTTTCAAGCTTCAGAATAATGTTTCTTATGGCTATTGGAGTGTTTGATTGGATTGATGTACGCAATCCATGTTTTTTTGTTCTCGATTTATGGCAACTATAAAGGACATAGGTTTTAAAAAACCGTTTTCAAGCTTTAGGGTAATGTCTGTAAGAGGGATGGAATTGAATATGGACACAATCACTTTTTGGACCTTAAAATGATTTGGCATTTTCCTTCTAATTTTAACCTCCATGTAGGTGTATCTCCATGCATTTTATGGTTATCTTTATATTATGTTTTAGAACTGAATTGTCAATTACGGACATCAAAAAGGGAGACAGAGTTATTTATTATACGCCCACATTTTCATATGAATGTATATATTGTCGTTGCCCCTTTCTTGACCTTACAACATCGTCTGGTACGAAGACAATAATAACACAGCCTAATTGATTTATTTTTTTCAGGCTTAGAACTTTTCATTCAGCCCTTGTATATATTTTATTTCATTAAAACTTGGTGAGGGTGGGGGCATAATTTACTACATGAATGATTTATTACAAGTGCTTGTATGTTTACGTAGGGGTTCGTGGTATAAAAATATCCAAATCTATTATTTGACATTGGTTGTGTAACAGAACTGACATTTATTTGCCATTAAATATGAAAGAGTCAACTCATGACAAGAAACTGTATTAAAGAATAATACAATAATGAAAATGTTGGCCGAGAAACTTCCATAGGATTGTCTAGTCTGGTTTTCCATTGTCAGTGGTGCAGCTCGGGGAGTCTGGTAAGGAAAAGTGTCTAGTTGTTCGGGTGAGTCCAAAAACCGTTGGCGTGCACGTAAAGGAACCCTTGAGAGTTGGAATTCGAAAGAGGATTAATTTCCCTCATTGCATACTACATGGAGGATAGTTGTCCTGGTTGGTGGAGAAAAACAGGGACGATTCATTTCATGTATATTATTTTCTTGCCAATAAGGTTAATATTTTTGAATATTAGTCTCAATTTATATGCCTTCATAAACAATGCTTTATATTTCGCAAAAGCCGTCTTCGTGAACCAGTCGGCGCAAAACAGTAGGACGTTAATCCCCATTTCATTTCCTTCCATTTCCATTCTCCAATATATGTTACGTCTCCATCCGACAAACAAGGCATGCGCCAACTAAACCTGGTGCTATCTCGACCAATCACGACAGCTAAAAAGCCTTGACTACATGTTTCCGTTTAGGGAGTGACAGGACTCAATTCTGAATTACATTATTGCAAGTCTTTCCATTCGGAATGTTGCCGGTTGACAATCTCGACCCCAAAGATAACTTTACCGTTTGACATTCAAAATAGCCCAGAGATGAAAAAAAAGGGTAAACTTTTCTCTTGGGTTGGAGATTGAAAATTTTATTAACATTTATTTCAGGTGAGCAACCATGATTGAACGAAACGACGGCCTGTACCTTTCCCGCCCCTTGGGTACCACCGCAGCCAGCACAAGCACCCACCACAACAACTAAAGCTCCAACAATCCTCTACCCTCAACCGTCGTGTGGAGTCAATCTTACTCATTACATCGGCGACTACAACAATAGGGCATTCGGGACATTTCATGTATATTTCAACCAGAATCATGATTTAGTTTGCAGTAGTGGACAATTACTGAACTGCACACTGACCCCATTGGATTGCGATCATCACTTCCTGCTTTTAGTAGTGGGGACGTTAACATACCGAGACCCGAATCGTCATGGGTGGAACGTACACTTTGAACGTACGCAATACAATACATCGTTTCAAACGGTTACGATGTCGTACATGGATAGCGAATATCCCCCAGTTTTTCACAGAGGGGATAGTTATAAACCAATGGACTATCCAGCCGGACGTGGACCATTATCCGCCATATGCAAGAAACCTAAACGTCGAGCTGTACTCCCAACAAGAAGGCCCGTTTCGTCAGCCCCATTGGCCTCGCAATCTATATATGGTCTTATGACAGCCATTATTTTATGCTTATTTTAACAAATGGAGTGTTTCATAATCTAGATTGATAATGGCATTATATTGTTGTCATCAATGTCCATCCATAAAAACATACTATCTTATAAATAACTTTGTTATATAATAAACGGAAATAACATACTGTCCTTGAATACTAAATGCTGTTAGCTAATAGTGGGCGTAATAATAGCATGTCTATGTTCCTGTCATACTTATGTAATAATAATACAATATATAAATAACGTTCTTGAATCTGACTTGGAAAATACTTTATTGAATGTGATTGGAGGCAGAGAACACCCACCCGATCCAGTATTGTTACCTCCTAGAAGGTGATCATAGTAACGAAATAAATCGGAGGTAAACGACAACCCATTTTTACTGTTCGGTAGATTCATTATATTCATGATAGGGACATAAAGGCCGACACGGGCACTTTGTTATAGAGTCAGTTTTTAAGACAGTTTGAAAGTTAGAGTTATCTCTCCAGTGCGTTTTCTATCTGATCTACGACTTGGCCCTACTGTTTTTAAAGACTCCGTTCGGTTGCGTGATTTCAGCATCTCTTGCCAACTACAATATATATATATAGCTATATATAGCTATAGGGAATAGCTATAAAGCGCCTTTAGTAAAACTATCTAATAGTTGAAAGAGATAACATTAGTAGCATAGTACTAATTTTAATTTTTCTTGAGATAATCTATTTTGGGATGTGCACCTCGTCAATCTTGTGGTTACCACTGGAAACCATCCCCTGGTCTAGTCTGGGTCATCCAGAACCTCCTAGTCTTTTACGTGCGGAAGGTCTGGGTCAGTTGTCAAGATTTGTCAACCACATAAAAAAAACACCCGGTTACACATGGGCAATGGAACTTTATAATATAAATCATGAATCGTGAAGGCGAATTGGGATTAATAAAAACATAGATGTGGTCCTTACAGAGAGAAATATTACAATAAAAAATTAAGAGTATCGGATAGTATTGGTTCATAGTGTGATGCTTAAGGAGCCAAGTCGTCGACATTGCAGACACAACTTATTGGTCAGTTTAAATCAACATTGATGTTGTTATCATGAACAAAATCTAAGGGCGGAAACTAACCCTAAAACAAGATGGCGATGCCAATGGAATAAATTTAAGAATTGCCATTTCAGACAAATCTATTTGCACTGCCTTTGCATTGAACCCTTTATGAACCCACCTTGAATAATATGGCCATATCTCTTTAAAGTCATTTAGCAGAATAAAATCATATATTTTTATCAATTTTTGTACAATCAGCACAAAATATGGACAGAATATAATTGACCTGTCCGTTTGTATACTCAACTTTCTTGTCCGCTTTGTAGAGTGCCGATTTTTAAACGAATCGTTTTCAAACTCTAGAATAATGTTTCTTATGGCTATTGGAGTGTTTGATTGATGTGCGTAATTCGTTTTTTTTTTTCGTTCTCGATTTATTGCACTATAAATGGCGTAATTTAGCGTTTTCGTTCTCTAAAGGACAGAGGTTTTAAATAACCGTTTTCAAGCTTTAGGGTAATGTCTTACTGTAAGAGGGATGGAATTGAATATGGACACAATTAATTTTTGGACCTTAAAATGATTTGGAAGATTAAAAATCTTAATTGAATGTATTTATAGCCAATGGTTACTATATCCATTTTACGGCAAGTTCAAACCAATCTGATTAAAATTAATTCAGCTATTGAGGTTTAAGTATCCGAAAGCCAAAAACGGTTTTCAATTTTCAATTACAACATTAATCCGGTTGATTGGCTGGTGACGTCACAGGCACTACACATACTATATACATTATCTATACAATACACACCACCAGTTGACAAGTGTGTACGTGTCGGTTCAATTAACATGTGACTGGCATAATCATAATCACCGACTTGCGTTGTTATAGATTAGACATTTGTGATTGGAATATTTAAGAGTGAATTTAAAATGCCGTATCATGCCGTAGATCAATTTAAGGTGCCATTGTTTAAATAGGCCCCGTGACAACTGAAGACGACCTAAACAATTAGCGGATTTACCGGTAATTTGGATAACCCCGTAATACTTGATATCCCAAACTATTCTCTATAAGTACAGAAATACAAATGGTGCCAAGCAATTGTCGATATATTCATTATTAGCTATATATAATAATAATAATAACCATTTCTATACACAATGAACCACTTTTATCGTAACTCCATTTGAAATTCACAGCGAATATGGAATTTTCCGATGACCATGCATAGATCACCCTCATTTCTCAGCCAATCAACGCTGGGAATCTTATTGCCATGTACGGTTCCATGCACTACGGGCGTAGTATGGGATTCATAGACATGAATATCAAATACACTTGATCATACGCAGAGTTCCTGATGCCGTTTGGTAAGTGATTAAACTGTCAATGCAATTGTAAAATACTTTAATTATAAAGAAGATAACCTGATCGTATCACAAAAGTTTATCCCTCGAATAATTTATATTCGGATTTCATATCAAGTCAATTAAATGTTGTTTAAACGCCAGTCAACAAATACTACGAGACTACTTGATTACAAAAACACCGGTGAGCAATAATTATTGGATAAATAATAATTATAAACAACTGATGAGTAAAACATAATTATTTTATACAATTAATATGTGTGTGTACGATTCTACCATTAGTTCATTCGTGGGTACTACGCACACGTTTCACCTAGAGTGATGTCTTTGATCTGGCCGGCGTAAAAAAGATAATTACCTAATCAGCATTCTTAATCCCACTAACCCACACTGCTAACACCGAGATGTAAATTAATTTTTGATCCCAAGTCTGTATAACTTTAGACGGATTGATTAATTAATGACAGATATTAACGACCCTACTTGCCATATTATTATCAATACACAAAGATAGTTAGATGACCCTTCTCAATCTGCCTGTTATTCCATTTAGATGGTTACCAACAAAATTTATTTGTACTGTTAATTCTAACGTATATTGAGATATTTTTTCGTATTTCATTTTTACGGTCTATTTCAGAGTAATGAAGTCAAATCCGCCGAACGATGATAACGGATCGTCATTTACAAATCGCTTTTCAATCATGTTTGACTTTTATGATACATTTTGCATGACCACATCTTTTTACTCCCGTAGTCTTTTACTCGGGGAAATTAGAACCACAATACGCTTTTGACGAAAATGTATCTCGAATCGATTGCACTGCATACGATGTTAGAGGGTATTACAATTGCTGTCGTGAGAAACGAGAGCGACCGTACATTATGAAACAAATTGCTGTCGTGAGAAACGAGAGCGACCGTACATTATGAAACAAATTCTAAATTGGATCTTAAATTAAAATAAATTACAAAACAAATTATTCCGTAGTCAATTGTTTTATTTAATTAGGGGGATTAAGGAATCAGTCAGGCGTTAATGAATACACACGCCGGCTTATATGGAGGCAGACCACCATTAATTTCCCCATTGACTTCAATGTTAATTCTGGCCTCTTTGCCCACCTCCAACTTTTCCCCAAATTTTCGTTGGGCTGAATGCTTTTCACTACAGACAGAGGAACAAATGGTCATGTCTTTGCACTAAAATTTGTATGAGGTTGACCACCAAAATTTTGAGATACACAAACTTGAAGAAGCATACTAAAAACATGTAACTAGTTGCCGTACATATCGCCGTAGCTAACCTGATAACCCTCTTATCCTTCCGCCTCAAAATCATGAATATTTACCAAAACCTGGCAGAAAATGTTAATTCAAACCCTCTTCGTCCATTCTAGACCAGAAAATCAACACAAATGGGCATGCAAAAGGGGAGAAAAGAGAGAGAGAGAGAATTGCTATAAATAGACGAACTACAATTCGTGGGTACTGAGATGATGAAATTTAATGGTGGTCTGCCTCCATATAGGTAATTGTAGCACAAATTAGAAATTTCCTCGATTCTGATTGGTCGAAAAGTGTGGTCGAATGGACAATAAACCCCCTCTAAATTATCAAGGCGAATTACTGCGTATAAATATAACAGTGTACTTTTTTTCATTTTTGTGCCAATGATCTTCCTCAACTCAAATCTTTATTGGCAAATATCTTCAAGGAATTCTGAACACATGACTATTACACCATTTTCAAACATCATCTTTCATGAAATCACATTTCTGAAATACATAAAACAGTAGAAAATCAGTCATAAATTAATTAAAACCGTTTTCAGGTATCCAAATATATTCGTAACTAGGCAGTGACAGTGTCAGTAGCATAGGCGTACGAGCTGGGGGCGGCCGCCTCCCCCCATTTTGGGCACCAAATGCTGGGAAAATTTGGGCACACAATTGTATTTTGTAAAAGTTGTATAAAAAAAGCTATTGTGTTCTTGAATGTGTCCAATTTAACAGCGAATTTATTATTATTATGTAACATACTAAGAACCTAACTACATTTTTGGGCACCAACCACCACCGCCCCCCCCCCCCCCACTCAAAAATTTCCCCGTACGCCTATGGTCAGTAACCTATGTTTTCTTTTTTGGTAGGCTAGCTTCACTCACCAATTTTTATTAATCAGGTGGATTTTTTATAAAAAAAAATCATGCTTTCAAAATCTGACTAGCATGATCTACCTAATAATAAGTCATTGGTCACAAGGAATCGCTTGAAAATACAATGAGGGGGTCGAATACAGCAGCTGAAATATATTATCATTTATGCCAAAATTGTCATTTGTTGACAACACGTCAGAACAGCTACATAGCAACCACTGGCATCTTAGACTAGACATCATTGTCATGCTTTATACGGTATTTTAGAGGATGTAAATATTAACTGCAATTGTGTAAAGAAGAACTAGCTACAACATTGTGATAACAGTCTGCAAAATAAAATAATAAATGATGGAAACTTACATGAAACTCCCGAAGCGAAGTCATTTTTGTTGCCAAGAGTTACTCCTCTTTTAGTCTCGGATAGCAGGGCGGAATTATTTAAATCACGCTGACACTCGTCTCGAAATACCGCAATAAAAAATACTAATTTCTTGTTCTTTTAAAGATCTTCAAACGTTAAAAATATTTTGTTGTCGATATCCGAATAACATTTTCTTTCATAATTCATTTACCAGCAACTCGAGACTCAAACATTTTAGATTTGCAGGTAAGCAAGAGACCGTCTATTGAAAATATTTTGAAAAATGAACGCAAGCGCGTGACCAAATAACGACTTTTTAAAATGGGTGTAAAAATGTTTTCTAAATAGTTCCGAAGAAAATCTCCAAATATTTGTGCTACAATATCGATAAACACATTCCTGTTACGTATTTATCGGGTGTTTATTGTCCATTTAACCATGCTTGAATTATCCATGGATAATTCAAGCATGGTTAAATGGACAATAAACCCCCTCTAAATACGTAACAGGAAGTGTTTATCTCCTAATTAAGGAATAAGCATTCCGAATATGCATTCGGTCACTGTGACGTCACTGGCGTCTGAGGGGATTTTAAAGAGTGTTTTCGATAATTGGCAAAGTCGTTTTTACAGGAGGTCAATTTTTACGACTTTGAGTGAAGATAACTGAATTAATTTCAATCAGATTGGTGTGAACTTGCCGTAAAGTTGATATAGTAACCATTGGCTACATGTATCGAAAAGTTCCCAAGCCCATCTTATGTGCACTTTAACCTCCATGTAGGTAGGTGTATCTCCATGCATTTTATGGTTATCTTTATTAAAAGTGTTTTAGAAATGAATTGGCAATTACGGACATCAAAAAAAGGGAGACAGAGTTATTATACGCCCACATTTTCATATGAATGTATATATTGTCGTTGCCCCTTTCTTGACTTTACAACATGGTCTGGTACGAAGACAATAATAAAACAACCTAATTGATTTATTCTTTTCAGGCTTAGAAATTTTCATCCAGCCCTTCCTATATATTTTAGATATATAGGAATAATTATGGTTGTATAATTTACTATATGAATGATTTATTACGACAAGTGCTCGTATGTTTACGTAGTGGTTTCGTGGTATAGAAATATCCAAATCTTTTGACATTGCTTGTGTAACAGAACTGACATTTATTGCACATTAAGTATGAAAGAGTCAGTCCATGACAAGAAACTCTATTAAAGAATAATACAATTGGAAAAATGTCACGTTTTCCAAAATTGCCATAAATCAAATACTGATTTGATTAGACAGGTTTTGATATATATCCAATTTAGAAGTCTTCTGTGATTATTTATTTTATATTTATGCATATTAAATCTGAATATACATATAAAAGGACTTGAAATATATTTTATTTTTCATTTGTAACTAAATCCTCACCAGTGTATATTAAACATTTTCAAACAAAATATACAGGTATGTAAATCATTCTAGTTTCTTATGCTTAAAAAAATCTTGGAGTTTGGTTAAATTCGACAGATTTCTGGTTTCAACGTCGTTGTATGGTTGCAAATTTAAGCTTAGCTTACAGCCCGCCGTAGGCGGATTGCAGAATTTGATAGCTCGTTGACCAGCCGAAAGAAATATTATATTAATACTATTTGACGATCATATAATCAATGGGTGTTGATTGACTGGAATTGTCAACGTATTACCTTTTTATTATCTTTTTTTTAAAAACTATTCTAGCGAGAACTGTCAGCTCTTAATCTAATCCGTCTTCATTAGCCCATTCGGGACAGAACAGCAGGACGTTAAACCCCATTTCATTTCATTTCTTTATCTAGTCTTACATAATGCTCCATTAAACTATGAAAAATAGTAGCCACTTGGCATATTCTTCAAAAGGAACGTAAGAAGGACATCGATCATTTTGTGTTTGCCAAATAACAGCGATCGGGTATTCCGAATTTTCAGAAATGCAAATGTTTACTTATTGATGTTTGTCTAATTTTAAGAGAAATGAAATGGGTTTTAACGTCCTATTGTTCTGCTCGGACTGAACTAATGAATACGGGCCAACGCCGTACAGTGTACTATGGGGCCTACTCTTATATCGAATTCCAACTACAGGGATCGAACACGCGACCTCCAGGCTAGCGAGCCAGCGTCTTACCCACTTAGCCACCGTGGCTCCCCAATTTTAAGAGACATCCGATTTACATTTGTTCAATGTTATTTGACAACATCTGAATTTTTATTATTACTTAATTATTTTATATTTTGTTATTTATGTCGGCGGTGAAAGGTCCCCACCCCACCCCCTCAGATTTTGCTGCTATTAAACTAGAGTTATATTTATTTCAAAACAAATTAGATGTGACAGTTTCAAGAGAGGTTTGATCAAAGTAAAAATTACTTGAAGCGAAGCGGTCTTTTTACTGATGTAGCTAGAACTTTTTATTGTCATGAATTTGAAAAATTTTGTGGTTCAAGTCAAAATTACAGTTTCGTTGAAATGTGATAGTCGATATAAGTTGTTCTGGCTGTCTGGGGGCCAGACTTATAGGTAGAATGAGATCATTTGTTCTTGTCTTGAATTTGGGTGTTCACTGAACGCATGACTTTGTTTTCCCCTTGTCAGTCGTTCGGATGGGGTGAAAACCCAAGGTCCCGTGTATACATTTGCGTGAACGTAAAAGATCCCTTGACAGTTAGAATTCGATATAAGAGTAGGCCATAGTGCCGCTGTCTGGGCAAAATTTCCCTCATAACACCCTGTATGGCGTATGCCCGTCTTCATTAGCCCAACAGTAGGACATTAAACCCCATTTCATTTCCATCCGAACGACTAGACAGTTGTCCTTGTCAGGCCCCCTTTCGTCCTGACAAAAGGAAACCACATCGGAAATTCCCGATAAACTTTTTCGGCCAATGCAGGTATGGAACACGCGACTTCCAGTCTAGCGAGCCAGCGTCTTACCCACTTAGCCACCGTGGCTCCCCAATTTAAGAGACATCTGATTTACATTTCGAGGTGGAACTTGATGATTACTGACTTCATTTCATATGTAATTATATTTCTGTGTGTAATCCTGCCGTTTTTATAACATATGTAACGTACGAACGTAGAATGCTTTTTTAACCGTGATGTTTGACCCAGGTAGTCGGAGTTACCTAAATCTACCCCTTTTGTGAAACTCTAAGAGTCTAAAGAATGAAACTGGAAGATTTATAAAAAGTCATTCATCAATGATGTTAAACTTGAATATGTTTAAAATTGAAAATGTTAGACGTTTACTAATTCTTATCGAGCCAATGCGAATTACTTTTCACCGGAAATAATTCTTTTTTGTTTAAATTGCAGGATGAGGACTTTAGTCTTTTTTTGCTGTCTGTTCCTTTTCATATCTATGGCAAACAGCCGTAAGTTACTGTTATTTGTTTCTATTTAAAATAATATTTCCAGAGTTCACAAGAGTATCCTTTCATACTCCAGTATAAAATATGATAACTACGTTTCTAGAGCATCGGATATCACGCCTCATTTATTCGGAATGTTCAGATAACTGATGATTTAGCCACTGGTAAGCTGATACCGTTGACGTATGAGGCATGAAACTAGGTCTTTTGGCAATGACAATTATTGTCATTAAATGATATAAGTGATCATTATTCGAAACTAATATTTGTTAAGTATAGAAAGTGGTTAGAAATTATACAGTAGTCATTAAAGTTACAATTTCATATTTTTAAGTTATATTTTTAAAATGTATTAAAATAAACCCCTAAAATAGATGGTATCTATAAACAGTCCTACCTTGTTAAAGAATAGTCCTATTAATCCTATAATTCACTATTGCCAGTTGAGAAATTGGCAAAAATATCATTTTCAACTTCAAATTCAAACGTTTGAGATAGCTATTCCATGGTGGGGAATAGGAAAACAATGGAGGTAATTGGGAGGTAATTGTGTTATTCTGGTGTGAAGATTTTTAAGTGAGAGAAAGATAACCTATGATCGTATAATAGTGAGTTGACAAGCTATTGAGCAAAATACATAGAAATAATTATGTTTTGACTTTCTTAGAAAATATGAAATTGTAACTTTAACTACCGAATGTGTAACTAGCTGTGAAAGATGCCACTACTGGTGTAAAAGCGTGACTATTCATAACACCTATCGCAATTGAATACACAAACCTGGGCCCTGTTTCACGAAATTTTAACAAAAGATAAAATCCAAATTTTAGTAGATACTTCAATTTTGATTGGCTAAGCACTAAAATCAATCTAATATTATCCAATCAAATTACTAAAATTTGGATTTTATCTTAGTTAAAATTTCGTGAAACAGGCCCCTGGACAATAGTGGTGTGTATCATCCAATAGTCACGGTTTTAATACCCTTGATGACATAACACCTAGTTAATGACTTCTGTCTGATTACTAGCAATTTTAATGAACTAATAAACATTATATATATAAAATGACGTCTTTGATCCACTAGTGTCATATATATTCATTTATAAAAGTTATTTGTTGCTTAGTCAACGATATGAACTTGACTTAGGTCCGACTGTTCTATTAATACTATTTTCATTTGTTTTTAGAAGCATTCAGTCAGTGGATTTCCTTTATTCCTCCCAGTGTATTGGCATTAATACCAGGTATGAATACAACATCAACGCCAACGTCAACGTCAACATCAACGACTACTACTACTACACCGACTCCCTGAACGCTGACAGTCTACTACTATGAATCAAAATAAAGGAACTTTTTTTAAATACACAAGTCTGTTTCCTACAACAGTTAGAAATTTATAGCATACTGTATTAAACCATAGGTGATTTTTAGTTGGATTAACAATGTTGATTTTTTACCTTTTTTGTCTGCTGATATTAGTACTGTAGGACTGCAATATATGTTGTCTTCATCGGTAAATTGGCGACATTTAAATCGTATGGCAGAAATCAACACTTTAACCAATATATCTTATAATGAATCGATTTAAATTTGTTTCAAATTGTCTTACTGCATGTAAATTACAATAAAGCCATTCAGAAGAACATAACCTGATGAAATTCTTGATTTTTATTTAGAAACAAGTCAAACTGTTCCTCATCAACATTGCCATCTCTCAGGATGGAACTTTAGACTCCGTGATCGATTATGGGAAATTAAATACAAATGAATGAATGCGTGAAAAGAAATTGGGTTTAACGCCCTACTGTTAATGAAGTCGAACCTACGCCATACAGTGTGTTTGGAGGGAAATTTTTCCGGGACAGCAATCGAATTCCAACTGAAAATGGTTCCTTTTACCCGGACAGCAATCGAATTCCATGCGTCAAGTGTTCTTTTTACCCGAATAGCAATCGAATTCCAACTGTCGAAGGTGCTTTTACGTGCATGCCAAGGTGTGCACGGTACCTTGGTTTTTTTTTCATACCATACGGGTGACTAGATGCCGTTTATTGGCAGGCTCTACGTCCTGCGCCACTGACGACAGGTAGCTACGCCGGAAAAATCCCGGAGGAACGTTGTTGGCCAAATCTGAATCGACCCCCCCCCCCCGGCGGCCCCAACCGCGGGTGGATGGACGGGCAATAGACTGTCGGGGATAAATAGAGTTGTTTTTACTCAAACATGCAGCACTTCAATAAGTGCAGACTGCTATCAGAACACCCAAGAATAGGGATTTGATGCAAACTATTTTTAAGTCTTTCACGAATTCAAGGACAATTCTTGAATTTGAGTTTATTTTAGCGACATAAGTGATCTTATTGTCCAGGCACCGAGTTCACAAAGCATTCTCAGACTTAAGTTAAGAATTTACTCAAAATTGTTCATGGATTATGGTCCCTGATTGTACGAAAAATCACATTTTCTCTTGTGGACACTCTAGAAGTCACATATTTTTATTTGATTTTGATGAAACTTAAAGTGTATGTTTATAACCCCAAGATTGTGACAAAGTACTCTATAACTTTTATCAAATTGGACGATCATTTAGGTGCATAGAACTTATTGACCTAAGCTGCTTTTGATAATATATTATATTAACTTTTCAACTCGTATATACTTCTGTGAATGCACGAACTGGCTATGATCTAATTAATCATGTAATTAATCTCAAGTCATTTACAAACTACATATGCTCTGTATACAAGCTCCACCTGACTTCAAAGGAATATGCACTGATCAGTAAGCATACCATGACGTGATAAAGAGACAATTGCATGTATGAGTCTTATCTATTCTCCGGCGCTATATAATCAGGAGTTTTCTGACAGTTAGACAGGAACAGCGAAGCGGGAGAAAGACGCAGACGAGAGAAAGGCAGAGACCGGCGGATGGACTCGCCCGAGTTCAGCAGCTGCCTTGGCAGAGGGGCGGAATGCTGGATTTAATATATGGATTTAATATATGTACCGTCCTGATATGTTCCTGTCGTAGTCTAGTTCCCGATGTAGTTTAGTTCATGTTGTATCTATTTAACTGTTTGATATTCTGTTCCGATGTAAATAAATCATATATTTACTTAAGTGATCTCTGTTATCACTAAAATAGTGTTACAAGATTTCGGTTCCATACGGTATTCGCGCATATCGGACCGTAACTTCCTGGATTATGGACCCTGATTGTTTTTAACTTGTGGGCCCTCTAGAGGTCACAATTTTTATCCATTAAAAAACACGTTAAAAAATATACGGCCGTTACACCATAATGGTGGTTGTGGACCCTCTAGAGGCCACAGTGTTTGTCCGATTTTGATGAAACTTGAAATATATGTTTATATCCCAATACATAAGATCCCAGTTTGTTTTGATATTCGCGCATTTCAGATCATAAATTACTGGATTATGGCTCCTGTCTGTTCTCTATCCATCTCTTGCAAAATGTGGGCGTATCTTGCATAGCAAACACTGGTTTTCCTTTTCCTCCACAATTTCGTGTTAACGTGATACTGTTTGAACAATTTAATACGCCCAAATTTGGGACAATGAGAGGATGGACCCTATTAGTGTACACTGTACTCCGTCCATCACTTGTCGATGTCGACATATCATGCATGTCGACCACTTGTTAACGAATCGTTTCAATACTTAGGATATTTTTTTTTTGAATCATGGAGAGTTGGGGTTGGCGTTGAAAATGGGTGCTGTCACATATTAAGGTCCCGAATCATGGCTCTTGAAAAAATTATTTTTTCTTGTCCGCTTCCTGGAGGGCAGAACTTTTAATGAATTATTTTCACTCTTTAGAATGTTTCTCACGACCCAAGGCAGGTTGGGATTAAACATTGGCACAATCGTATTTTGTCCCTTGAAATGATTTTGAACTTCTCTTGTAAATATAGCGACCGTTTTACGTATTTCCCACCATTATCTGTCTATATTTTATTCAGCTTGAGGAATTTTCTTTCAGACTTTTCTCAAATTCACAAATTCTTGTTAATGAATATTTATGCAAAGAGAGAGAGAGAGAGAGAGAGAGAGAGAGGTTGCACAAGCGATCTACTTCTTGTCATGTACAGCAGGAGAATCTCTACCGCGCAAATTGACTCAATGTGACAAACCTTATGATACAACGCGCACTGATGATATTTTGAAATTATAATATCCATTACTTTCATGGGGATTTGTAAGCTGTTTTTTGAAATAAAGTCTTATTGCTGCTTTAAAATATCAAAACCAGCCAATATTGAAAAATAAATTTAATCAAAAAATATAAACAATGTTTTTATACGTCCACACGGGCGGTACGACTTTTCACCGTCGACGCCCACAAGTTTTATTAACACTGATCAATCTTCGTTTAGAATATATTATAGCATAAATAAATAAACAATAAAATATCAAATAATTATGATAATTGCAAAAGTCTAGTATACAACACATGTTTTGTATGCGCCAAAAGAATAGTGGAATTAACGTGTAAATTTTGTTCAATATTATTTGACAACATCTGTATTTTTATTATTACTTAATTATTTTATATTTTGTTATTCATGTATTTATGTCGGCGGTGAAAGGTCCCCACCCCACCCCCTAAGATTTTGCTGCTATTAAACTAGAGTTATATTTATTCCAAGATAAGTATAAGATGTGACAGTTTCAAGAGACTTTTGATCAAAGTAAAAATTACTTGAAGCGAAGCGGTCTTTTTGCTGATGTAGCTAGAACTTTTTATTGTCATGAATTTTAAAATGTTTGTGGTTCATGTCAAAATTACAGTTTCGTAGAAATGTGATATTCGATATAGGCTGTTCTGGCTGTCTGAGATCATTTGCAAAAAAGACGATGAGCGTAGCTACCTGTGTAACTCGATAATTCAAGTAGGTCCATGTCCGTATTTTCGACGGCTTTATGCGTGACTTGGATTTGGACGCTCACTGAACGCGTGACTCGTTTTCCCCTTGTCAATCGTTCGGATGGCACGAAAAACCGAGGTCCCGTGTTTACATTGGCGTGAACGTAAAAGATCCCTTGACAGTTGGCATTTGATATAAGAGTAGGCCATAGTACCGCTGCCTGGGCAAAATTCCCCTCATAACACCCCGTATGGCGTACGCCCGTCTTCATTAGCACAGTAGTAGGAGCAGAACAGTAGGACGTTAAACCCCATTTCATTTCCATCCGATCGACTAGACAGCTGCCCTTCTCGAGCCCAACTGTTCACGATAAAATAACAACATCAGTAAGTCGTGTTTGCAATGTTGAAAACTGTGGCTTATATTGAGTTAAAGGCTTGCCTCCTTAAACATCACAATATGAACCAATACTATTATAATATCACGGCTGAACCCTTTATGAACCCACCTTGAACAATATGTCCATAACTATTTAAAGTCATTTAGCAGGATAACATCATATATTTTTTATCAATTTTTGTACAGCCTGCACAAAATATGGCCAGAATGTAATTCAGCTGTCCGTTTGTATGCTCAACTTTCTTGTTCGCTTTGTAGAGTGCCGATTTTTAATCGAATCGTTTTCAAACTTTAGGATAATGTTTCTTATGGCTATTGGAGCTTTATGGTATTGTCTGTTAAAGGGTTAGAATTGAATTTTTGGACCTTAAAATGATTTGGCATTTTCCTTCTAATTTTACCCAACATGTAGGTATATCTCAATATATTTTAATGGCCATTTTGATATTATGTTTTAGAACTGAATTGGCAAATACGGACATCAAAAACAAGAATTTTTGGACCTTAAAATGATTTGGCATTTTCCTTCTAATTTTACCCCCCATGTAGGTATATCTCAATATATTTAATGGCCATTTTGATATTATGTTTTAGAACTGAATTGGCAAATACGGACATCAAAAACAAGAAGACACAGTTTTTATACGCCCACATATTATATGAATGTATATTGTCGTTGCCCCTGTATTGGCTTTACAACATCCTAGGACTTTAGGCGAGGGTCCAGGGGCCTAGATCGTCGGACATGCTTTCTGAGAAATCTGGCTAATGAAATTACTCAACAGGGCCGAAGTTGTAATTCTTTTCTACGTCCTTTACTAAGAAAACTCAGTCGACGGTTGGTTTCCTGTGATGCTAAACTGAACAAATATTTATGCATAATAGTTGTGAACCAATAGATGTCACATTTTTTATCCGATTTTGATGAAACTTACAATGTATGTTTATAATCCAACGATCTCGGTTCCTGCCGATATTACTGGATTATGGCACCTGATTGTACGAAAAATCACATTTTGAACTTCTGGACTCTCTATAGAGATCCCAATTTTCACTTGATTGTCTTACATCTTAATTACGGTAGAGTTTAAATTTCGTGAAAATCGGGCCGAAACTGCCCGACAAAATGGACGCTCCCTTTTACGCAAATAGTGTAAAAGCATGTAATTGTCGTGGGCAATCTATAGGTCAGAATTTTCAACCGAATTTGATGAAACTTAAAAAAAATAGTTTATATCCCCCAGATCTGGGATCCTTTCGATATTGACGCGAATTGGATAGTAACTTTCTGGATTATTGCCCTTGATTGTACCCTTTAAAACACTGTTCAATAATTAAGGGTGAGTCAGAATTTCCTG